TTTCAAACTAAAATCATCAGTCCACTACAACGCATAAATCCTTTTGATTATCAGTTCACTCAAAGTACAATCCCAACACGCGTCAGATTTACACCATGAACTTTATTTACTACTAAGCGGAAACTAATTGAGAATTATATCACTTTTATTTCCCCATTTTGGTCTCTAGCAATGCCTGAGGAATACATATGTCTCTTTACCCGCTAAGCCGTTCACCGGATTCAGGTCCTATTTCAAACTCTACACATTTCCATCTAATAGATTGTTATTGAACAAAATATTGATAATAATACAAATTATATTTCATCCTAAAAAAATAAACAAAATGTAACCCTAAAAGTGCATATAATTCCTTATGAAGCATCATGATATTTCTAATATACCATAAATTGTTTTTATTATTACACTTATATATTATATATTATTACTCCTTTTTTATCAAGCATCATGTTGTAAGATTGATCTTAAAACCTGATTGGTCTGTTTGAATTTGAGCCTACTGCTGTTTGTCTATGTGTGTGTGTGTGTGAGTGTGTGAGTGTGTGTGCGTGCGTGCGTGCGTGCGTGCGTGCGTGCGTGCGTGCGTGCGTGTCATGCCACTGTGAAGCCAGTGCGAGTTTGTTGTTTGCATTAGCAGCTGCAGGGGCTTGGTGAGGATGCAAAATCCTGACGGTTGACTTGATCCAAACCCGGGCCAGTTTACATAACTGAAGCACTGCACTGCCCGGGGAGCCTGCCGTTAAATCTGTGTGTGTGTGTGTGTGTGTGTGTGTGTGTGTGTGTGTGTGGGGGTGTGTGTGTGTGTGTGTGTGTGTGTGTGTGCCCTCCCCAATCGGCATGTATGTTTGTGTGTCTCTCGTATACATATTTCCACAGCGTAATGAACATGTGGAAGTAGTATGAGGAAAGCGCATACTCCTATCTCAAACATCCAGTTTGTACAATGACAGGGATCGCTCTAAGTGATGAACCTATAGAGAATTATCGCCATCACCTTTAAGGAGCTGCCTTTGAGCTCATTGCTGAGCCGTCTGTTATCTGAGAACATGAGAAATACGTTTTTCTTTTTAGCTACTTTTGAGCGCGCTCCATGTTTTCGTTTAGTATCGGCCTTAAAGTCATCCACTTCTGCGTGTGCCTCCATCCATTGGTGAAAGTCAGAAGTGTTCAAATTCAAATCCAAAATTTGTTTGTCTTTGTTTGGAGAGAGCCGTTTTTTCTCTGGCGCAGCCAGAAGTACATGTGGGGCACAAAGTGGAGGGCCCTTCATTTGCCTTGGCTCCAGCCGTGCTCCCTTCTGCAGCTGTCCCGGCCTCCAGCAGTCATTTGCGTCTCCACCCTGTGTCGTGATGGACAGGTGGAGGCCTCTCACGACGGCATCAATGCATGGCTCCAGGGCCCTTAGCTTTGGAGGCTCCAACGTATACCCAGTCATGCCAAACCCAAGTGCACTTCAACAGGAAGACTCCGTTTGAGTGCACGCTGTGTCGCAGTGCCAGAGTACAAATGTGCTTAAAACGATTTAGTAATTAAATCTCAATTTCAAATGCAACAACAACAGTTAAAAGCCACGCATCCAATTTATCCACTTTCATACTTCAGCTAAATGACTCTGTACACACAATTACCAGGTCTCCAATGGGTCCTGTTGGATATATATGTCTGTTTAGTTGCTAAATGTTCTATCTAGTCGCTCTTGCTGCTGTTTGCTGCCAGCCGGTTGTGTGAAGCTGGTTTTGTTTGAAAGCAAAATAGAGGGATGAGACTAAACAGTAAAGTATAAGGCTGGAAAAACAGGACAATGAGCTGAAAAATTACAAAAAGCTGAAGGCAACATTTGATTTGAACGATGAATTGACTTTAGGAGCGTCATTTCATCCATTGTTAGTATAAAAATAATGATGATAATGATGAGCAGCTAGTGACAAAATATTGAATTTGAGAGAACGTTTGTTTTCTTTGTCATAATAACTATCCTTCACACGCATTACACGTTAGAAATCATCAACCACTCGGCACAAAACAAGAATAATTTAAGTCGCCAGAGCAAATCAACTTTTTCTTTGAATTGTTGACAGTTAGTAACTAACTTACTTCTCAGCAGCACGGCTCATATTTGTAATGCACACGCACAAACGGTGAGACAAAATGCTTCTGAACAAATATTAACAATAAATGTTGTTCGAGTGCCAGAATGTGATGCATAAGCAAACTGTGGCATCTATGAGCCTGAGCTCCCAAAACAACGGCTGCCTGAGGAATTACTCATCGCTAAGTGTTCGTTGGCATGAAGCATAAGAAGCTGTGTTAAGTAAAGGGTGAGGTCCGTCACATCTGTCAGACGCAAAGAAACCACACAATTAAACACATTGTTACAGTCGTTTGGATTATTTGATCAAATACTCCGAGCGGTTTGATCGTATCTTACGATCAAACAGGTTAAATGTACTGTTTAACCTGCGTTTGAAGGTTCATCCATTTTTTGGGGTCTAAATGGAGTTGAAACCGAACAAATAAGTCTCAACGCTTTAATAGGAAAAATTATATAAAGGTCTTTGTGAAGCTCCTTGGTGCTAAACCTGTTTGCTTTTAAAGTGGTATATACATTTAATAAAGTAATTAAAATAAATAAAAACGTCTATTGATTATAAATGCAGTAAATCCACTTATTCAAATAAAAATAAAAATCCTTAAATACATGGTTCTTATTCCTACCCATAGCATACTTTGTACCTTAAGTCGATTTACATCTTTTCAAAGTAGATTAGATGATAAGAGAATTCAATTAAAAATCTACACTTAAATGATCTTATAATAGTGTCAACATAAAGGCTGCAACTAAGAATTGTTTCCTCAACATATGTTGATTGCTCATTTAATGAATTGATTCGGTGCGATATTTCCAAGATAACTTTCCAGAGCCACTTTTCATCAAAATAGACCAAATATAAAAATATCAACTGATCAATTGATCAACTAATGATATCAGGATCCTTTAGAAATATACCACTATATTGGATTTACATTTTAGCAGTAAGCTGTTCTAAAATCCTTCTGTCCTCTGGGATCCAGCAGCACGTGTATCTGCCTCTCCTTTCACTGACGGGGGTGTCAGGTAGATTTGCATGCCTTATGTGCGCGCACACATACAGAAACACACACACACTAACACATCCACACATGGACCAACACACCAAACATACTACATTATAAACACATATAACCTCAGCTACTACTTATACGTTGCAAATAAACACATAATAAACAATAAATAATAATGGTGGTCCAGTAAAAATGTATTTTTCAAAATGTAAATAGAGCAGTAACAAAAGACTGTCTCTCTGTGCTTTGAAGGGAAGAATGCTGTTTTTGAAATCTTCTATATTCCTATAACTATAGCTATAGCTAAATATAGTGTCTTGTAGTTTTACCCCCACGGTCGGGGATATTGTACCAACAAATGGACAAATCTGCAACTTCATAGTGAATGTCTCCCCATTTATTTGATAATAATCTTACCACAATATGTAATATAATCAACTAAAGAAATAAATACAGAACGATATACATACACAAGATATTTGAGAACTTGGAATGTCAAGACCCTAGTTAAAATTTCGGAAAGGTAAAAATTCCAAGTTGAACTGGTTAACCCATCGCCCACCCGATCCCTTCTTATAACAGGATGCTGCAGGTCCAACCCAATAAAGCCCCCGAAAGAGCAACGGGACTCAACCTTTCATCGGCAGCTGTTTGTCTGAGCAAAACCGCGCTCTCTCACCACGCTGCCGCCCTGACACATGTCCACGCTGCTGCCGCGGCCCGCTGATGAGCGGTGGGAGTGTGCTGCCGTGTGTTTTTTATCTCTGTTTGTTTAAAAGATTAAGGTGATGAACCCTGGCCCCCTGTGGAGTCACCGGACCTCATACCCCCCCCTCGGCATTGTCTCCGTCACTGAATCCGGTGAAATTGAATAGGGTTTGAAACCAGCTCAAAAGCTGAGCTTTTACAGATTAGACTTTCCAGGAATGGACTACGGATCTCAGCACTTAAAAATAAGAAGAAAAAGGTCCAAAACATGTCCAGCACACGTTAACACCAATTCACTGTAGACGCTCACAATCAGAATCCATTTCCATGTTGAGAGTTTGTTATTCTTCTCTCTCAGGTTGCGTCCAAAGATTGTGATGATTGGCCTATATTTTGCATGCTGAAATCACAGGACGGCCTTTTGCCTGGAAGACATTTGCATCTCTTAACACAGCTGGCTCGTCCAACCACTGGCGCAAAATAAACAAGGGGCCAAGGTAGAAAAACAACACGTAGGTTTAGTTACCACTAAAGAGGTCTTTTAGTGTTAAACGTCAAAACAACCTGGACCATTTTGGACTTTATAAAGTAAACTGAGGTTGACTTTAAAGGGAAATTTGAATATCAAGAGGAAAGAAAATGTGTGTTTGGACAGTTTCGGTCTTTGGAACTGAAAAACAACCTGCATAAAATAAATACCAAGTAAATACATGAAATGTTATCAGATTCAGAAACATTTACTTGCTAAGTATGTTGGACATTTGTCATGGTAGGTGGTGCATGGCATTGATCAAAAGAGAATACTTTATAATTAAATTAACAATAGAATTAAAATGTAATATAAAACATATACAAATAAAAAAAAATAAAGTGCACAGGCAAACAGATTGCAACACTATATGATACACAAGTGTGTGAAGTACACAAAACATTGACTATTCTGAGTTTAGTTTTTAATGAGCAACAGTTTAAACTGGAAAAGTTTTGCCATTTAAGAACATCAGAAATATATTAAAGCCACATTTAAAATATATTAAAAACAGTGGAATAGAAATGTCCACCCCAAAGTATGCAGACTTTGTCAAACGTGAACAATAGACCCTTATAGAACTCAGGTATGTAAAGATCATGTGATGCCTGGGGGGGGCGTGGCCCCTCAGGTGCTCTGTGGAGGTAATGCACTCCAACGCGGGATGACTCATCGTCACACACACCTTTAACATCCCGCACGGCACTCTCACACCTTTACTCTGCAACTTCGACGCACAACAATCGGTGGGAATGAGCTAAATGAGCACAGCATTCATTGAAATAGGATCTCTTTTTAAAAAGGTAATTACCTCGACTGCATTTACACAGCTGCTGGATTTTGGACTTAAAGACAGCGGGTTCTACGGTCGGGGTCTTTCTGCCGGGATTGTGCGCTGGGGCTGATCTCTCGTTTTGAATTCCACCAGCGAGGATCAAATCGGAGGGAACCTTCATCTCAACTGTGGAGGTACTAATACGGCGCAGCGTTTGCTGTCCACTCCATATTCTCTCTATTAAAGGGACACATCCGAACTGTTCATGACAATGCCGGTGGTCAAAGTGGAGAAAGAACCTCAAGCCGAGCACAAGTTGCCCGCCTCCAACCCTTCAGTGCAGTCAGAGGAGCAGCCCAGAGGTCGGCGGAGGAAGAGACCTCTCCAGCGAGGGAAACCCCCCTACAGCTACATCGCGCTGATTTCCATGGCCATAGCCAACTCCCCCGACCGCAAGCTGACGTTGGGTGGAATCTACAAGTTCATCACAGAGCGCTTCCCCTTCTACAGAGACAATTCCAAAAAATGGCAGAACTCCATCCGTCATAATTTGACTCTCAACGACTGCTTCATCAAGATCGCCAGAGAGCCGGGGCGGCCGGGAAAGGGCAACTACTGGGCCTTGGACCCGAACGCAGAGGACATGTTCGAGAGCGGCAGCTTCTTGAGGCGCAGGAAGAGGTTCAAGCGCTGTGACTTGAGCACGTACACCTCTTATGTCCACGAGACACCAGTTTTCTCTCCCCTCCAGATCGCCAGATCGACCGCGTACACCAACTCAGTCTACAACAACATGGCGGTCAGCCCGGCCTACGGGCAGCAGCTGACCTCTGCATATTACCCGTCTTCCTCTCCTCCCGGGTTTGGACCTGGTCAGACCCGCATGTTCAGCATCAATAACCTCATAGGACACCAGACTCCAGGGAGCATGCTGGGAGGTCAAGTGCCGGAGGCGATGCAGCAACCCGGCCGCAGCTTCAGTCCCGAGGGGCCCCCGAACGGGTCCGGCCCCTGCGGCCTGGCAGCCCCGGCTTTCCACAGCCAACCGTGCGGAGGCCCCGTGTCTTCGCGCTCTTCCGCGCATCCTGGGTTCAACTACTCCGGGCCAAACAGCCACCCGCACCAGCATCCGCACCAGGGCTCGTACGGGCAGGGCCAGACCCAGGGGTACGCGGCAACGGGACGCCTCCACCCCTCAGCCCACCACGGGTCCCTGGAGGCCATGGACCATTACGGCAGGGTGTCCCCAGTGCAGCTGGGCTCTTTCTCCCAGTATAACAGTGCTGCTGGGCCTATCGCCAACACCGGGGGTTATCTGAGGCACCCGACGTACCCGGGGAACATGGACAGGTTTGTGTCTGCAATCTGAGCTCTAGATTATCTCCACCAACTTGTGAGCGTCTTGAGACTTGAGACGGGCACCCAGTGAGCAAGACATTTCTGCACGCAACCGTGATTGTTTTTCTTTAAACTTGACATTTGTTGGAGAAAAAATGTTTAAAAAAAGACTGATTGAAAACACCTCTCCTGACACAACTGTGATTTACCACACGAGATACACGCCAAATATTTGGATTTTAACGTCAAAGGCCCCCTGGTTTGGAAGCTTCTTTTTATGTCGTAAATGGAATGTGCACGTTTAATATTTACTACACTAGTGAGTTTAAATGATGGACCTTGGAATTTTATGATAAATTATTATGCTTCATGGTCATCGGCTTTGCAATAAGTGGCTTGTATGAAGAATGTGGGCTTTAGTATATTTGCATGTAATGTAATGCATATTGAGTTTGAATTTTTGGAAATAAACAGAATTAAACTTTGAACTTTGTTTCTTTGAGAATAAAATATTTAAAATATTGACGTGCCAAAATACACCAGAATTGCAATTTTTCTTATTTCGAAAATGAGAAATGTGGTTTGCCGCTTGATTTAATCAAGAATATATTTGCAATAGTTGTAAAAAATAAAATACATTTGCCGCCAGTAATAAAATAAATCCTTTTTACACATCTTTCGTTCTTTTGTGCTCATGTTGTTTTCTTCCCTGTTTCAGCTCAGCTAGTTTGAAGTGTTGTCTGGAGCCAGAGTATTATCAGCAAGCAGCCTCGGTCCTCACATATCCACGGCACTGATGGACAGTTGATCTACCACACAGAGCCAATCAAATGAATTGACTTGTAACTCAATATTTCAGGCAATGAGGCGAGGCAGCGGGAAACCTCTACCTCATCATGAAAGACCTCACTTACACAAAGTATGCATATCTGACAAGATGAGACTCGTTAGGAAACGCTTCATTATTGTGAAGACACTTGATTTTCCAATCAGAAAAGAACCTTTGTTGATGCACGTGGGGGGTTCTCTTTGGTTGAAAGGGTCCTAGTTTTTTTTTAGTTCTACTGAATCTCAAAATCAACATGGATTAAATAACAATAGCAGCAAGTGTCAAATTACAATTTGAGAATGACAATGGGTTATTTATTGTTCAGAGCTGCACTTAAGATAAAAGCAACAAGGCTGCTGGTTTGATAAACACCAGCCCGGGTTCTGAATGGTAGTCTAGAAAGAATGAGGTTGATATACAGTACAATATCTAACAGAGGGCAGAGATTTAAACAAACTCAGGTATCGATCAACATTCATCGATTAAACTATGACTGCACCTGTACCAAAGGTTACTGCGGATTGCTTTTGTGTTTTGGGAATATTAAAACACATGTATTACTGTTTAAAGGGTAGTGATCCTGTTTGTCTATGCAAATAAAATGTGTATTCAATTTGCAAGGATGGACACCGCGTCAACAGAGCAAGTTGTGCATTTTGCGTATTGCTGGTGAACACCAAGAGCCAAACGTGTGAGGAAAGGGTGTGTGTGGTGCAGGTATCCAGATCATCTGATTGATCAAATTAAAAATGACATACTAGGCAAAGTTATTAAACTCAACTACTTTGGGATACAAATGTATTCAATATAAATAAACCAGGTGCAGAAAACATGTTTCAGACATGACAAAAAGTGGCATGTTTGTTGTTCAGTTTCAAGCAGCCAACTGTTTTCAGCAGATATAGAAGTTCTTTAAACCAACTTTATTAAATGTAGACAAAAACATACTATACGTCGTACGATCTTTGCAAGTGTCCTTCGAATATAAAATATAAGGAGCAAAGGTTATCTGAGAATTTCCTTTAATTTAAATCAAATTAAAAGTAGGAACACTTAAAATGAGGACTGGCTAAAATATTACAGACATAAATACAAGGAACACAGCAAACACATCAGCCAATGTATTCAACAAGCTGTTGGAGTTGTTCACAATTCTTCACAACGCCCGGTAAGGACCGAAGAGTCTGTGTGGAGGAAATTAAAACAATCAGCACCTCAAACATTCATAAATTAATTATTATAGTATGTCACACGGTATAGTCTTGAAAGAAGGAGGCACATATAGCAATATCTTACCTCTCTGACTTTATTGAGTAGTTTGTCTAACATCTGAAGTTCATTCTCCATTTTCTGCTGGTTGGTCTGGCGGATGATTTGCTGTGAAGACAAAACAACATTAACACACTGGATTTCATTATCATTTTCCTGATCTTCGTCTTTTAAAACATATGACAATACTCAAAATGTCAAACCAATAGGTGAGCAATTTGAACTCCTACTACATTACATCTAGCTGATACTTACATATCTTTTTGCTCTATCAAGGAGTTTAGCTCTGGCCTGCTCCCCCTCTTGAAGACACGACTTCAGTCTTTCCACCTGCAGATAAAACAATCAAAGACCTGCAATGTTCACTCAATTACGAAAATCAATATTAGAACTATACAATATGCAGAAACTCTCGCTCTACTCTAATGAAAGGAACATACCTCTTTCAATAGGTGGATCTTCTCTTCCATGATATGCGCCGGGTTAGCTGATTGGCTACCAGCTTTTCTCAACTCCTCACGCAGGTACTGAGACTCCGCCTTTGACTGTTTGAGCGCGCGACGAAGCTCGACCACCTCCTTCCGCAACTCCTGTGAACAACAAATAAAATCTGTTACATATGGTAAAATTAAGTTAGATTGCTTTGTTTCATTTCATATATATAGTGTATATATATATATATATATATATAGATGTTATGACTTACATTGCTGTCAATCTTATGTTTATTAAGAGTTTCCTGGGTCTCTTGTATTTCCTCCATCAGCCTTGTCAAAGTTTTCTCGTCCTATGTGAAGAGATACGTTTGAATAGATCAGTGCTTCTTTGGCTCGACAAGAGAATTCGCATCACTCGGCCCTCTTTTAACCCAGTCACAATTGTGTTAGCTACCAGAGATCGGTCAACAGCATGCACCGTAGTTATTACCTGAGCTTTCTGCTGCAGCGCCTGGTTGCCCTTCTGCAACAGGCTGTTCAGACCACTGATTTGATGCTTCAGCTCAAACACCTCTGCATCGTGCTTGTTGCTTGCAGCTTGCAGCTCCACCTGCAGGTGAGAGCTGACGACGCATTTGATAATGTTGGAATGGAAGGACAACATACATGCACCTCTGAGATTTTTACATTCAACAGTTGTGACAAATGTTTTTTCTAATAAGGTAAATAAATATGAATAAAATCTTTATGATTTGCTGGTCAGAATTAGGCATCAGGTATGTAAACTAGTGATGGGCTTTTATTTTTACAAATCCATCAACAAAGCAGTCGGTTGTACAAAAGTTAGTTGCAGGACTAAATATTGTTCAAAAAAATGTCCTTTACTTCACCAGACAATTTACATCACTTACATGGTGGTGTGCAGCTGCTCCAACTCGGCATCTTTACACTGTTGCAGCAGCTTCCGGGTGCTGATGAGCTCTGAGACGGTGTTGCCCAGGTCCGCCAACAGTTCCCCAACACAGCTCTGCTCGTCCTCCTCCGGATCAAACTCCACCTGGTCCAGATTCTTTTTGGGGGTGACGACCGCAACGCGCCTGAAGGCACTCGTCTCGCTGAACAAAGTGTCACACTGTGGCCCGGGAGAGCCTGAGGGAGCAGTGAACCACAACATCAATTTTTGATTGCTGTGACTTGACATTTACGCCCCATTAGAACTGAACTAAAAATTTGTTATTAGATATAGATGCAATTTTTCATTTCGTTCAATGTCCTGTAAAGCTGCCTTCTCTGCTGATCCGTAACCATTTCAAAACGACAGACATGTTCATTTAAAAACAGTGGGAAGTCATACATTATCTGTGGCCATGCTTATTAAAGAGAAATTAACTCATAAATGTCATTAGCAGCAGAGTTATTCATACGCTCTCCAATAAAGGGGACAGATCTGTTGAACACTCATTCAACATGTTTTAGCTACTCAAATGAAACAGCTGCAACAGAACAGACAAGAATCTTTGGTTAGCACAATTCAGAGACACTTGTTTGCATCTGCTGAAGAATACAACTGCATTATACAATATATAAAAAAGGTGTTTATATCAGTGTTTGTGCCTAAACAAAAGTTCATGCTTTATATGCACATAAAATAAAGTGTAATTCTCGTCTTTCAAAAGACCAGAGGGAACCATTATGAGGCCTGAGCTTCAGTGCAAGTATAAATCAAGGTACCCAATCCAGAAGGTGTGTCTTCTGTGACGTCTTCCTCTTTCTCAGCAGTTAATGCAACCAGGACGCTGTCAACAAAGGAGCCGGAGGGGTGATGACGTTCCACATTGTGGAGAAGTGGACACTCCTGCTGTGCTGCAGGTTTCTGAAAACATGACGGTATGAAAAAAAAAAAATATATATATATATATATATATATATATATTATCCTGCAACTCCTCAGTCATAGTTGCATGCTGTATCCAAGTGTTCGGGCAGTTCCCACGTGTTACCTGGTCGTTGAGCGATGAATGCAGTTCATTGGTGAGTCCTCGCAGTGTGTGATGCAGCAAAGTAATGTCGGCGACGGCCTGCGCCAGCTTCTGTCCCAGCTGCAGCCGGGTCGCATCGGCTCTGGACTTTGTACTTTCCAGCTCATCCTGCAGACTCCTGTTCTCAAGCCTTCATCGCACAAACAAGTTAGAATTTAGCATAGAGACAATATTTTAGACAACATTCATTTGTTGTAGGATTAGCAGATTTTGTTTAAGATTAAACCCACCACACGACTCCAGTGTTCATTCTTTTATAATCTTAATTAAATAAAGTTAAACCCATTATCTACTTTGGCTAAATATTTGCTGGTACTTACACATTCCGGTTTGAATAACTTTGTGGGACAGGCAAAATATTTCCTTAGCCAAAACAAGATGGCCTCCGCATAATCTAAGCAACATTTCTCACTAGCACATTGATTCGATAACAGAAGATCATTACACGGAGTCAAACTTACTGAAGTCTGCCAAGTTCTCCTTTTAGATCCTCACACTGGATATTTCTCTCTCTGAGGCTCTGCAGGTTGGCCCTCAACGTACGCTCACTCTCTCCCATTTGCTCCCTCGCAAACTCATTCTCCACCTGTAGGAACTGACACACACACACACACACACACACACACACACACACACCAGGAAATCCCAAAAATGAAGTGACATCATATGATAACAGCATCTCAGCTTAATGGTTGCTCATGGAACACGTGTAGAAGAAGTCAGAACCAGATGTATAGGGGATATAAACCTAAGCTACGTAATGCTTTAGTCTCCTTAAGACAATAAAGTTAGGACAATGTTAATCCCAGAATCCTTCCAAGTACTGCAGGAGCAGAGAGTCCTTCAGCTTACCTCGTTCATCTCCCGCACACCATTGAGCTGTGTGCAGACGTCCTGGAGCTGCTGGATCTGGGAGCTCTGGGATTGAGAGAGGACCTGCAGCTGCCCGAGCTGCTCCTCACTTTGAGCCAAGGCCCGACTGAACTCATAGGCACGCTGCTCCGACTGACCCAGGGACGTCTCCAACCTGAACGCGAGCACGGACAACACGGGCGGTGGAGGGGACGTTAGCGGCAGTATTCTAGTCAACATTTGTGGTTTTGCACTCAGAGAGCAATATTAGCCTGTTGTTTAATCATCATTCAAGTAACCTAAAACACCATAATTGGCGGTTTATACACCGCATAAGACTAACAAAGTACAGTATATGAAAAAACGTGTGGTTATCAAAATACATAATTTTACTGAATGGGTTGGTGGATTAATTAGACTGTTATGTTTCGAAGAAGAATGAAGAAGTCTGTCAAACATTTTTTTACAGGTTTAAACTTTTCTTCAATGTTTCTCTTCATCGTCGTTTTACTCAATATTCATATTAAACCATTTACCCGCTACAACCTGTCTATTGTGTCATGTCTTACACCGCTTACTCATTTGCTCTATCCTTGGCTAGCTGGATGTCCTTCCATGACTGCTGCAGCCTGAAACAACAACATTTAGAGGGTTTTTTCTCCATACGAAAGGGTTTCGTTGTTTTAATCCCTGAGCATATCATCAATAGATTTCAGTTGTTGTACTTTGTACATACTTTGTACTTTCAGCAGCGAGGGCCTGCTCCAGGAAGGTGTAGGAGGCCAAAGTGGAGGAAACAGTGGCAGAGAGCTCCGTCACCTTCCTCTCCAGCGGACCTTGCTCTTCCTCTCTTTCGGTTAGCTTCTGACGAAGAACACCCATTTCTGGAATTCAATGAGGAGGAAGACATGTGAGCAATTCTATAGGCTGATTGAATGAAAGAACCAAAGCGAATTTTACCTGAGGTCAGAATTGTCACTTGCAGATTCAAATCACTGATCTGTTCTGTGGCCGTGTGGAGATTCATATTAGCTTGTTTTAATTCCTCTTCAATCTGTTGGGTAAAAATCATCAAAGTGATTAACAATATAAAAAAGTGCAGTGACATTGAATTAAGTGACGTTGCAAGTGTCCGAATTAACGTGAGGACATCATAGTCATTGGACCTGATCTCTCTCTTCGACGGCCTCGTCTCTTGCAGCATGATGTTCGTCCCGCTCTCTCAAAGCAGCAGCTGCCCTCTCATTCAGGCTCAGAAGCATGGGAGCAGTTTTCTGCAGAAGCCCCCTGACTGCGCGGAGCTGAGAAAGGAGCAAACAAAAAGCATCAGACATCCGAGCATCGATGCATTTAGAACCGAAGGAAATGCTGCCTCCATTCGAACCCCACATAAGAGTGCAAAAATGATACGGCAGTAAAGTTGTGTTATTAAAGTGTGTCTTTGTCACCAGATTTCTGCTCGCTTTTAGTAATTGCTACGTAATGTGTGTATTCGAGGCTTTCATGTCATTTGCAAACAGTAATAATTTGAGTCTCTTTTAAAAGCATGCATTTTAAAGAAACATACGTCTTGCATCAAAGTAGATTGGTCGTTTATGGTTGTGGACAGAACATCAGTAGCAGAGTCCAGCATCTCCGTGTAGGCTCGGTTCAATGCAACCTGTTGAAAAAAACAATCGGATGAATTTTATGTTGAATAGATTAAAAACAGCTTTTTAAAAAGGTTGTGTGTTATCTGTACCTGTTCTGGGTAGGTCTGGTCCAGGGCAGCTGACAGTTCTTGCTGAGAGCCCACAATCCTCTCCAGCTCTGAGATTTCGGTGGCAAAGTGTGTCCTCAGCTGCTCCATCGCACTGAAGGCCTGGGAACAGAAAAAGAAACACCCGCTTAAAGATGCTAAAAAAAAAAATTCAAAATGAAGTTTGAATATTCTCAAAAATACAGGGGAGCCACTTGGTCAAGGATGAAAATAGTCATGGATGTAGAAACAATACAGATTAACTAATTAATTAAAAGGGATTTGTCCCTGTGCTTACCGCCTCCTTGGCTTTGAAGGCGTCCTCCATCTGCATCTTCATGTCATCTCTTTGGTGAAAAGCATCTTTTACCTTCTGCATCAATGCTGTGTGGGTCCCTTTTGTTTTCTCAAACACAGACTTCATCTGACCGTACTAAACGACACAAAGAAAAATTACATAGCAGCTTCCTTGTTCCCACTTGACAAAGCACATAAGCACGCGAGACATGTTTACATACATGTGAAAGAAGGCTTTGGTGGTCCCCTCTGACCACGTCTCCTATTTGAATCACGTTAGAAAGGGCAGCATCCGTGTCACAAGTCAAGGAAGTCTGTTGGGGGAAACGCGCACAAATTTCAGAACAAAATCAAGAAGGAAAATGCATTCTCTTCACAATAATGTAAATCATTCAAAAGCATGTGCCTCAGAACATTATGGACAACAGGTTTGCGACATAGATAAGCACACGTGGTGCATCATTGTTTAAGTCTCACCATGGTGACCCGCATGTCCTGCATGTGCTGGATGAGGTTCTGTAGAGAACTTCCATCCAACTCCAACTCACCAATCCTTGCCAGAGCCTCCAAATATAAGTCTCTGTACATTGTAGTCTGTGTAGAATACAAAATAAGCAACCAATCAGTAAATACAGATTAAAAAAAGATTGCGCATCACAAAAACGACACCCAAGATCTCTTCAGAGCAAAAGAGCGAACCGTACCTGGGTGAGTTCAGAGTGGTCTGTCTGCACCAGTTTCTCCCTGAGGTCTGAAGGAGCCGGGCCCGCGGAGGGACGTCCATTTTCCCGTGATGCAGACAACTGCTGCGCGAGAGCCTCCACCATGATCATGCTAGACCTTAACCTGTGCTCCAGCTCTTGTCTGGGGAGACTGTCTAGGCTGCCTGGCGGTATGCTGAGAGCACGTCAACAGAAGGAGGTAAGAGGCGGGGGAAAGAAATTAAATAAAATTTTAAAAAACTGATTTTAATTAACCACGTCATATTCAGAAAAGGTTACACTTACTTCCACAGGAGAGGATCTGTTAGTGTGCAGGAATCGACCACATCCCTCTTTCTCTCAAACTGGCCGGATGTATTGACGCTGTGGTCCAACCATCTGACAGGAGTGGTGCCCACACAGACGCTGTGGGATTCCAATGGAGGAGCCTTTTCCAAGGGGACCACGGCGGCAGCGGCGGGCAACGTGGGAGCAGAGACTGCAGCAGGAATCATCTTTCCTGATGCCAAGAAAAGAAACTCTGCCATCTGCCGAAGCTGCTGCTGCAGAGGACCATCTGGAATCAAAGGCGCATCCAAAACGGGCTTCTCCACTTCGAGCTGAGGCTCGGCAGAAGGCTTTGCACCCGCATCCCCACCTAGTGTTGTAGAGTTAAGCAGAGGTTGTGGCATAGGGCTCTCCATGTGCTCTGCCCATAACCCAGCAGGGTCAACGTTGAAAGGGGCAAACATGACGTTCTCCCCTTCAAGAGCGGACTTCTCCAAAGCAGGACCCCTAAAGGCCCTTAATGCAGCGAGAGAGGCTCTACGGACCACGGGACTGAGGATCCCAAACTGAAAAGCTGATGCTACTGTGGGACACTCTGACAGCACTTTCAAAATGTCAGGGAGGTTTTCTGGTTTCTCTGCAGAGCTGCAGAAGACGTTTCCAGATGAACCCAGAGCGCTGTCTTTTGCCTCGCTGGATTTGTGGGCCTCACTGCTGATTTGCAATTGAGACACATGTTCGGCATGCACTTCGACAGCCGTGGGCATCCCTGACGAATTTTCTAGATGGCTGCAGACAGAACTCTCTGTTCTATGAAGCATTGAAGGCAACGCGCTGTCCTCAGGATGCACCATGGTTTTTTTGGACATTTCTTGCATTCGACATTCAACAGATGGATCATTCAGCGCCTTTAACGGTGTGTTAGTCCGTGAAGATGTTCCGAGAGCTGTGGGGTCAGAATTTACCACACCGTCATTGTTCTCTGCATGGCTGTTCGGTTGTAAACAGTCATCTTGAATGGATTCCAGTGTGATAAAAGTTGGTACACTGTTGTCCTCAAGGGGCTGGCAGGCCGCACGTTGTTGGTCAGGGGACGTCTTAGAGGATCCATCAGATATTTCGAAGTCACTTTTGGCACTGATGTAAGAGCTCGATGTAAGGCCCTCTTGTCCGCCAATCTGTTCAACCTCCTCCACAATATCAAGGCTGAATGGAATTGGCTCGTTTGCGGTTTTACAGTAATGGTGATCTAAATTATCATCACTGTTTTGCCCATCTTGGTCACAAGCCAATATACTCAGATCAATGCCATAGTTGTATGACTCCCCGCAGGTCGCAGATTGATCAGCTGGCAGAGGAACCGTTTCATCTGCAGGTTTGGTGCTATCTGAAATTTCAATCCCACCTCCGGTGCAGTTAAATGATTTCAACGTTACGTCACTCAATCCATCAGCAAACTTTTCAGAGCCATTTGAGGTCTCAGAGAGGTTGGCGATGGCACAAACAGCATTTTCAACGCTGAAGTAGGGATGATCTGCATGTTCCGCTCGACTTATCTGGCCACAGTCAGAGAGATTTGTTAGATTTACACTGCTGTCCTGTAACGGGTCAACCAGCTGGGCCTCGGGCAGAGGAATGGTCTCATCTTGAAGTCCGGTTACTTCAGAAACACTCACCTCACCACCATCGCAAACAAAGGATTTCCACGTGACGTCATTCGTAAAAGCTCTGAAATCTTGCGTGACTTCTCGATCGACAAAGTCTTCAGAGGGAGGCTCAGTATTTGAAGTGTCACATAAACATGCGGCGTCAACGTCAACCACGGAGGCGTCTTCCGCCTCAGGGTGGTGATATGGGTGCTCAACGTGGTTACTGCAAGAACGATCTATTACACTGTCACAGATGACTGTCTCTTCCATTTGATGCATGTTTTCCACAGCCTGATCCTTGGGTAAAACAACACTCTCTTCTCCGCAGACAGAGAAGCCTGTAACCTCAACCTCCCCACCGGGACAAATGAAGGACTTATACGTCACGTCTCCAAGTCCACTGGCTGCCTCAGCAGTTGCTATATCCATAATGGAAGCATCGATTTGAGTCACTCTGGTGGATGAAGGAGATGGCAGGTGGGATTCGGGGTCACAGAAAGGAACATCGCCCTGTTGGTTAGAATGGATGGAAGATAAGGAGCAGTCACAAAGATAATTAAAATAATAGGAGCGTTACAAAATATAAATTTAACCTCACCTTTTTCGGTTTGACAACATCAGCCCCGAGCAGGGACTTTGATTTGAACCTTGATGATGGAGTTGACAGCATTTCATTCTGCAAACTTCTCAGAGGGGTACGCTCTCCAAATCTGCTTGGAGGCTAACATTCACAAAAAGCAAAGTATTATTAGCTTGTTCTGTGATAATTGAACAACGAATTGTGCACTAAAGGTCTTCAAGTCTCACCAAGCTGTCCCCACTAAAGCTCGCCTTCCTGGAGGACATCACTGTGGAGTGCTGGGAAACCTTTTACAACTGCAAAGTACGAGACAAGCACTTGATATAAAACGTGCCTCCTGTTTCCAGACAATAATGTTAAATCACCTACTGTTGTAGTTACCACCTAGCTAAAAAAAATAAAGAGGCTAACGTTAATAATATGACGCCTCGGCAACGTCACAGGCAGTTGGCCAGAAGTAACTCAAGGCTCATTTCTAAGCTAACGTCACTTCATAAGCGTTAATTACTAATCAAACGTAGCTTGGATGTATGATGTAACGAAGCAACATAAGATCTTACTAAGAGTAATGATAGTGAGCGCGCGAGGCACAGACTCCGAAGTCGTTGGCTGACCCAATTTAACGACACGTTAACTGAAGGCAGCCCGTAAACACATCAGCAGCAAACCGACATTTTACATTAAATACATGTGGCACTATGATCTGTTAACTTAAGATATACGCATTACCTTTAAAAGTTTAACTCCCAAAGCTACGCGAATAGGGTAAACAAACCTTATTGTCGAGAAGACATCAACCGCGTTTCATTCAAAACGCAAATGTCAGCTCTGCTATTGGTCCATTTCTCTTCTTCTGTGGTTCTGTGATGCAATGGACGGATTTGCGTCATCCTACGCGCTGCTGCCACCAACAGGAAGCTTCCTGTCATTACACTAAAGGGATTTTCATAACGCCCCAAATCATTGCCTTAAACGGGCCAGGTTGTTCTTAAAAATGGGATGCATAATCATAAAAATGACTTATTGGTCACTTTTACCAACTTCTCTCACCAAAATAATTTGCATTTGACTACTACATTGCAGTAAACTAAAACTCTTGTTGACTTAATCAGGGAATGAACTTTATTTGAACTTTAGTTAAATATTTCTAAAGTCCTCGTTTACATTAAGATACATATTTGTTTCTGCCAAAACATTCTCATAAGATTAGCCACACTATTGCTGTCCTTGTTACCATTATTTCAGTCAAACATCATTACAATTATGGAAAATACATTAAGTGTTTGTAAAGATATGAATCCATATATCAGCTCATGAATGTTTTCGCGACCAGTCTCTTACTCTCTCAAAACGAAAAACACCCCTGTAGACCCAGGTGGAGAGTGATTTACCATCACTGTTGGGAAGGGCAGTCATGGAAGAAACAAAAAAAGGTCCACTTATTCCTAATTATTTAATTGGGCAGAAAGTCCGACATGAAAAGACATGAATTGATTTGTACATAAAAACAATATTTAAACTTGTGGAACAAGTCTTTGCCAAAGGTAAAACGTGCAAACAATATCATGAAGATATGTGGGAAAAGTGGATAAGCCTTTTAATACTTAATGAGAAGAACTTGATTAGCACAATGACTCCTATTTCTAGATAACCTTTACTGCCCATGTAAAACCATTGCATCCCCACCGTGGCTTAATGCCAGAAACCAAAAGGACAAAAAAAAAAGAAAAGGCATTTATATATTTTTTTTAAACTTTATTTGAAAGTATTGTACCTTGACTTTCGTGCGTCTACTTTAAGACTCTCTAAATAATTGTACCACTTCAACAGTTGTCAATACAGAAATTACCTAAAAAGGTTGATTGAAGACAGAATCTGTTACTGTTCTTCCACAAACATGAAAACAGAGTCGTTTCACTTCTGAGTTCTCACATTGAAGCAATGCATTGCCCAACAGGTCGGACCCGCAGTACCTCAGCAAAGCCTTGTCCAAACCAGCATGTGATGTCAGCCGTGTCCAGGGTAAAGAAGAACAGTCTGTCTCTGCAGCGTGTCCTCCTATAGACTGACCGGGGGTCTGCCGACAGCACCCCTCTTATAGCAGCCACAGCTTCCTCTGGACTGCGAAGAAACTTGAACCTGGGTCTGTGACTTTCAGAGGGCCCTGTGTGACATGGTGGCACTGTTATCATAGAAATCGCCATGGATCCTCAATTGTTAAATATTAAACCTCCAAGCTGTACATGGTCAGGTGCAAATACTGGTACCTGACCATGACCTACTTCATATTCATCTAGCTCCCAACAGATCCCTCTAGTGGACAAAAGCACAGTCCCCCTTAATGTGGAATTTTGGTTTACCTGACAGGTGTGCAGGAAGGAAGTCTGCTAACTCCCTCCCAGCCTGAGGAGTGAAGCGCACCTCCAAACTACTAACAGGAGGCTCTCTGATCCAGCCGGCAATAGCGCTGCAGACCTCCTCTCCAAAGCAGGGCTGGTCCACAGTCCCATCTGGTGTTTGGGTTTTGTAAGAGTCTGAAACCTGATCCTCTTTTGCACAACTTAGCTGGCAAAGGTCCCTTTGGGTCACATAGCCCTTGACTTCTTCCAGCACATCGTGTAGCGCTTTGTGGGGCAAAAACTGAGCACTGGATGACTCGGGCGAAGCTGTGAATGAAACATTTGCTTCAGATTTGTCTTTTGAGAGGAAGCTACTAAAGTCATCGTTGTGATCACTTTGTTCCTCTTTCAGGGCTGACTGATCATCAGAGTAATTTGGGGGGTTTAATGAATCTGTTGTCTCATCTGAGCTCATCCGGGAGAGGGGGTTGTCGTACTCTGGGATGTAAGGTTTAATGTCCAAGACTGGGGTTCCAGCAATGATGTCAATATTTGAAAGATGTATTGTATCACCTAAAAAAAAGTGGGAAGATATCAGTTTCTGTGGCGCAGGTTAAAGTTGACAACTGAACATTTGGACCTCTATAACTTATTGTAAACATCAGTTTAGTCTGGAATTAAGAGTTTTTAAAAATGTCTACACAAATCTGTACACAGGTCCTCACAAAAGGCACAACCAACAATCAAAGAGACTTGCTTTCTAATCAAACTCACCTACTATCTTATCGAGTCGAGCTAGAGTTAAGCCCAATGCATTTGGTCGGTGGGGACTGCGGGTTGAGTACAAACCAACTCTCTGACCGTTGAGTCTAGGAGGCTTCACTTTGGCTTTGTAATTTAAGTGCCCATTTTTGTGAAAAAGAAAGATGATCCTGAAGAGACAAAATGAGGAAAAAACAAACACAGCAACTTAACTTAACTTTGGAAATTGTATGTGTCCAGAGATGGTTATTTTTAAATGGGCAAAAGAACTTTTTAGACACACCACAAAAAATCTCACTCTGCAATCTCAATTGAACACTGCTTAAAAAGATGATTTAAAACTGTCTTGTTTGAATCATTGTTGGATGTGTGGAATGAAAAACATTGCTTCAAACCAGCAACACGTATTGCTTTTATAATTTAGGTAATAAGAACCCCAAACCATGTACTGGACTTTGTGTACGAACTGTATATATTTCACAGTACACGAGACAGCATGAGACATACCAGACATGGGAGTATTGCTCCAGACCCACCAGAGCGTGATCGGGGTTATTAAAGACACTCTGATGGATGCGCAGTTCGGCTCTTGAGGCGACACAAATGGTGGGCTGTCTGGGTGTCCCGTTCTTCACAGAGAAACAGGAAGTGACGTAACCAATGGGGACTGTCTGGATGCTTCCTAGAGTATTACAGAGACAACAATATTGTTTAACATTTTACATTTAAGAAAACATTTTCATAAATGTGTAACAACTATTTCTGAAAAAATTAAGTTATGCTAAAAAAAGTTATTAAATAAAATCAGATTTTAACGATTTTTTTTTCTTTGTTGTTTACAGTTGTAAATGACCTCGCTCTAATGCCGCCTGTGGTGGTGGTGGTGTTGGTGCTGCGGGTGTTTGGTCTTTCTCGGGATCACGGAGTCCTATCTTTGACACAGCAGACTGAATGGATATCATGTGTTTGCGGTGACCTCTCGTCGCGCTGTCCAACATCTGCCTGTCAAAGTGTCAGGTACCATGTTACTATCGACATTGCATCCGCGCAAGAATGCAGCCGTTCGATGAATATTTCGTTTCTATCTCCACTAACCTCAGATTCTTGATTTCCTTTCTCATCACAGAAATCTGCTGATCCAGTCTGTTGATGCGCTCGCCGCAGCAGTCGCACAGAGGACTCATTGCAACGAGTTAGCTTCTAGCTAGCTAGCGAAACAGCAACAAGCCGCCGTGTCAACACGTGGGTGTTTCTCTAACCGGAAGCAACAACTTTGACTTCCGGTTGGCCGGCCATGGGTTTTTCAGGCACCCACGTAGGATACGTGAAGATCTGAGAAAGGTTCTTCTAACGGACAGCTTGTATTGTGTATATTACGTACTGTGACGTAAATGTAGGTCGAAAACGTGAGCTACATACGACACATGTAACACGAATGTTTCAGAAGTGATTGGCACGCTTGCAGTAGTTGTTTTATACCAGCAGGGGGCAAACAAGAGAAATGTCACACTCCTCGCTTTCTATTTTTTTAAAGCTTTATTTATGAATAGTCAGTGGTCGCAGAAGTGCTACTGAGAATTTGCATTAACTTTTAACTGAATTTATATTTCAGTGGGAAATCGTGTTCCACTTTTATCTACCAGCTTGTTTTCGACTCAACAAATTAACCTTTTACAGAGATCATCTTATAACAGCGTGTATTGTTATAAATTAAGCAGAATATAGTAGTTACAATTCACTCACCAGCGATAAAATATTGAATTCGCCTTGCACAGTTGTCCGTCAGTAGTGATATCCAAATAATATTATGTATATTAATATTACACTTACAGCAACACTTTTATTGTTTATCATTTCAATACATTTGTATTAACACCATTAGTTTAAAATACAGAACTTCAAGTTGCAATGGAGTATTTTTACACTATGGAATAGTTAGTATCATTTTAGCAAATGATCAAAATATTCATCCATCTCTGTAGTTTACACACAGGCCTGTGCAAACGAGGCACATGTGCAAACAGATACAGATACTGTTCAGATGGTACACAATAACGATTTTAATAAATCAATCAAATTCTTATCAGAGCCTGTATAAAAACACCAATATCATCTATTGTATCAATTCATCATTGTTGATGTATTTCTAACATAATACATAAAGACAGTTCTGAGCACACTCCACAAATGATAAGCACTCTCTTTTATTAGGCGAATAACAACTTTATACAAAATACTCCATAATTACAAATACATTATTCTCATTGATTTGTACCATATAATCCTAAATAAAAGCAAGCAAGATTTGCTATTTTGTGAATTTAAAAAAGAAAAAGTAATCACCTTCAGAGTGAAAAACAAACCAGAATAAATAAGGATACAGGTTGGTTATGAATTGATACATTTGTCAAATAAGCAATGCATATGCTAGTATGTTTGTTCCTTTAAGCCAGCCTGCTGCACACTAACCAACATAATACTGTGCTACAGACTGTGATCAGAAGGGATGTGATCTGAGCTGAGGCAGTATCTAAAAAGGACTAGAATAAATTTCCCGGGAAATATTTTTGTGGAGGCGGCGTCGGGGACAAGGTTGGAATTGAGAACATTTTGTTTTGTTCAGGTACGTTGATCGCCGATGTTCCAATCAAATCTAAAAAGACAGGATACAGTTAATATTAAGACAAATATGGAGAAAAAATAACAAACTTTCAACTGGTAATGCTATTTTCTCCACACCATTCATTCTCCCAGAAGTCTAATTGTCTTCTTTAATACCTTCATTTGCTGTTTGGTCATTAGATGAATAGATGTCCTCCTCATCACCTGGGCCCAAGTCCTTAATCAGGACCTGGTCAAGGACCTTTCTGCTCTGTGACTCTGTGAAGAGGGTGTCCTCCTGAGGAGGAGCTGCAGTCGGAACAGGGGCTTGAGTCAGGACTGGAACTGCATCTGGAGCTGAATATGGAACAGAGACTGGAGCGAAATCTGCAAGTTTGACGGGAAATGAAACCGGAGCTGAGGGTGAAAAAAGGTCTGGAGTCGGAAGAACGGGAGCGGGAGGAGTCGGAGAAGCAGCAAAGACGGGGCTTTGGATGGATCCGAGCAGTGGCCGAGGTGCGGGGGCAGCGGGGACAGCGGGGACAGATGACGGTCGTGATTCCCCATCCAGCACAGGGGATAAAGATTCTGGGGTTTGATACGGGACGACCTCAGCAGGTTCGGGCACCACCGCCGCAGGAGCTTCCTGAGGCACTGCTGCCTCCTCCTGATTGACACAGATCTCCGGCGCGGGCTCACTCTTCTTGGGCCTCCCTCTCCGCTTCGTGCCACTCTCAGCCCTCGGCCTTTTCCTTTGACTCTCCACCCTGAGAGAGTTCAACAAATCCAATCAACCTCCCAACAGTGGGGCATTGATACAGCTTTCTGTGATACTTCTGCAAAGCTAATAGTACAAAGTCCTTGACCTGGATCTGGGGCGTCAATAGAAGCACTAAAGCAACCTTTGGTTTCCTCTTGCTCCATATTCAACATAGAGCAGAGGGTTGATAAGCAGCTGGAGTGCTGATAAAGATTTGACAGCGCAAGTACAGTGTTGTATAGAAGCAGTCCTAATAAAGCCTTATTAAACATTACGAGGCTAAATGTCTACTATTACTGTGCGTGGTATTTGAACAATAATGCACTGTATTATTACTGGGTTATACGGTTCTCCTTTGTCCGCGCTGCTAACCCTATGACGATTACTCCAAATGAAGATAGCCGATAGTAAATGTAGGTCACTGCACTAACATTGGCTAATCCTTTCTTAAAAATTTACCCCCAAACCCACTGGTTAGTCTCCTTTTCTTCTGCTTCTGCTTTTCTCTTCTTCAGAAGGTCCCTGTCCCGTAATCGGCGACGGATTCCACCTTGGAAATGGAGAAACAACAAGGGCAGCATGAAACCAAAGCGCAGTATTTCTTTATGCATGACTAGAGAATGTGGGGAGTGATGCCGTGTAAAAGATGTGGTTCGGTGACATTTGCTCTTCCAGCTTCACACGCTCGGGTTTGAAATACAGAAAGAGTAGTAAGAGTACTATTGATTAAAGAGTTTTTTTTGGTCTTGAGTCGATCAAAAGGCACCATACAGTATGCCAACAATGAAATACCGTGCTGGAATAGGCCTGCTTCATTTAAAAAAAAAAAAAAAGAGTATCAACTCTTAAAAATTACCTTGGTCCTCATTCGAATTTTCATAATCCGAATTTTGTTTCTCTTGCTGCAACGTCTCCTCCATTCTTGAGTCCTGCTATGAATGAACTCAACTCATTGAACGCGGGCAAACACAGAAACCAAGACAGAATAACTTCTGACTGTTTTCTTTTCCCGCCCCTAAATGAATTATCTGGTTAAACATTACCATGGTGCCGGAGGAGTTCTTGCAGCTCTGGTCTTATCGTGTTTGTGAAGCTGGAGGAGTTGGCACAGTATTGACAGATAGAGAAAAAAAGGACTGGAGCAAGTTGTGTGAGGTAAAAGGGTAAATGATGATGTATTACGCTTATTAGACCAAAATGTTACCTAACTAGCCAACTCTTTTAGATGCACGTGTGCTTGCAAGCCAGCAGCTTATACACCTGCTACTTACAATGGCAAAAGTATATTTAACTGAATTTATATCAACAGTTATTCAATGCCTTAATTACCTGATATCATTATCAGGAGCAAAACACTCCCACATTTAAATTAAGTATGAGTATGAAATAAATGAGCCAATGGTGCGTGTTTCTTTCTGCACAAATGACACTAATCATCAATAAACATCCTAAAAACAGTCTTTTTCAAATAAACCAACACATCATAAAGTACTATTTGTAGACTCTCTGCGTTGAAACGCCTCCAGACGGCCTGACACCAGGCAAGACACGCTTTCATCAACCGGAGTGGAGGCATACCCGTCTTATCTGGGAGATGGAGAATGCTCGGTTGGGGCGTGTCCTCAATCTTCTCCCAGCACATTGAGGGCTGATGTGTTTGAGCTGCTCAGAGAAAGAAGCTGTCCAGCAGAGTAAATAACACTGAACTGCCTCCGGCACTGTGGGGAAATGTTGAGGGTCTCTTGGTTAAATTCAAGCAGCTTGCTGCAATTCACCGTTGATGTTTTAACCTGGAATATGTTCTGGTTTTGTCATTATTTTTTTTTCATTGTTGAAATTATGCATGCGGACAAGTTGTGCTCATTGCACCTGTTTGGTCCGGGGAGGATTTCAGTGTTAAAAAAAATAGTCTTGGAAGGCGATACAGTGACAAGTATTATAACCTCCTTTTCTGAGATACACGGGCCGAGATGAACAAACTGTCCCATTGTTTTTTTTCCAACAGGAACTCAGACACACTTTACAAGTTACAATACAATTTAAAACACTGTGAACATTTAGCAGCACCTTCAGTATCAAGGTCACTTCCAGGCGGGTTAAAAGGACCACGGGCCGCGCAGTTTACTCTTTAGACTCAGACACACTAGACTCCTTGTGTGTCTGCACATCTTCACTGATTATTATCTGCTTCACCCACTCGCTGTAAAGGCTGTCGCTCACACGTGGCCCTGCTGCTTTCACAATGTGCCTTGAAGTTGGAGAATGTCAAAGTAAATATTACAGTGCCATCTTCTGGTGCAGATTTTACACTATTCTAAACCCTGATTTGAATATTCTACACATATGTAACATGAGGAAATAACTTTCTCCAGGACCAAAGACTGTACAGTGTAACTGTGTAGACATTGTGAATATACAGCATTGTAGCCTGCCTCCTATTTGTGTCTTTACTATTCTATCTACTCAACCTAACACATTAAAGTTAAAATAGTTACAATGTATCAAGTATCATTTGTGATTCATATTTGAATGTATAAAGGACAACAAGTTCTACTCAGTAGACGTCTCCTCGAGGGCTCTGGTGTCTCAGGAAGTAAAAGGGGGGGGGGGTGGAGTTTTTTGGGTGGGGGTGGGGGGTTGCCCTACTCTCCATGTGCATATACAATGCTCTCTTTACTGCAAACCAAACACACCCCCTCCTTTCTCGCAGTGCCCAAACGGTTAAAGGAATCTGGCATTTATGAACTAAAAAGGTGCAACACAATTTCTCCATTATGCACTTTATTGATCAAAACGGTCACGTGGATCATACATTCATCATTTTTCTGCCACAGTTACAATTATGCATTTTGGAAAAGAAAAGAGATATAGATATTCGGCTCTTCTGCTCCTTCAACGTGAGACGATAAAAATATAAAGCTTAATACGTCCTCACTTTAAATGGCTGGAACTGTGGGACGAGCAGATGATCAAAGTTGACCATATGACCCACTTTATCGACGTCCAGTTGGCTAAACGGCGTTCGACCGAATCCGTGCCCACAATGTGGATTTCTTTCACTTTTATTTAAAACTGACTTTACAGACACAATCCCACCGAACACCGTACAGCACTTTCCTCGCAGAAATAAATTGCACCACAGCACCGGTTCGGGGCAGCGTCATGTTTTGTGACTGCAATGCCTTCACAGGGGCGATGGGCGTTTCTGGACGCAGATGGCGCTGTTGAGCATATATTTTGTTTCAGTCCCGTTTCCCTCCATGGTTTCTCCTCTCTCCGACTAACTTAGCGTTTGGCTCAGTTCATTATACAGTCCTATATTCTCCCTCCATTAGGGCATCTCTGCCTTTGGACTGAAGAGCCCACCAAAACCCAAGAGAGAAAAGTTTCACTTTCATAGGGCAAAGATGGACATGAAAAAGAGGATCCACTTGGAGCTAAGAAACAGGACACCGTCTGATGTGAGTCGTGCTTTTTTAAAACCAACCCTTAGTTTTCTGGCTAGCCTCGCTAGCTACTTTTTTTTTTGCTTTGCGAGTGACCTGTGTGGCTAACATAATGGTGACCACATGGGCTTTATATTGTGCTTTCTGCTTTTATTATGGGGCGAAAAAAAAAACACACACACACTCGCGCTGCAACGCTTTAATCCCTTTATGCCGCTCTCGGTTGGGGCGTACGGGGGGCACCGGAGAGGAGAAACGCTAACAATCGTTATTCAATCGTTACTTTAAAACGGACCGATTCCTCCGCTCGCTGGCATTTATTGCGGCGCTTTAACCGTTTCGCAGCCTCGCTCGGGCCACCGGTGTGCACACACACGCACGCCGTTCGCACGGATTCACCCTCCCCCCCCGTCGTAGCACAATTAGTAAACTTCTTTTATACGCGGATATATGTCGGGAGGGTCTGCATGCCGCGCCGCGGCTGCCGTCTCGCGGAGCGGTAAAATTCGGCACGGACCTCGGAAGCCATGTTTTTGCTGCTAGCATAAACTGCTAAAATGGGGCGCTTCTAACAGAGGGGTTACAAATGCTCGTTACGACTCCGCGGCGGGTTGTTCTGTTACATGTAAAACGAGACATCGGCGATCACGAGTTACGTCTTGAAATCGCCGTACGGCGGCATCGAATGGACGGATTCAGCAGCGACAACAAAAAACAGTCATCCGTTCCTCGATCGCTAAACATTCAACCACTGATGACCAAAGCCAGCTCATATTTACAGGAATGGATGTTAACGTAGATTGTTAAAAAAAACAACACATTTTAAGCTGTTGATTCGTAAGCTCCCGTCGGCAGCGTGCAGCTGTTTATGCCCCAAATAGCTTACAGACTTGTATGGCTCCTACGTTTCCGTTAGCCTTTAATCTCCCTGCGTACAATATTGCACTTATTTCACGAAGTCTGGCGACAGACGTTTAGCTTAAGTATTTATTTTCCCGCCACATCACCGCCACTGTACAAAGACAACACTAATACAATCAGTTAAAACGTCAAAATTCGACGGTTCTTTCGCCCGGTGACTGTAAGCGGATCTAAACTTGTTGTTGGTTTGCAACCAAAGCGGATCAATGTGTTTCCCGGTGGTTTTATTAACCGAGGCAGCGGTGACACGGGGATCCAGTGCGCCCCGCTTCACGCGTGGGCAGCCCACACGCTCGACGGTCGTCATGTCCTCTCGACTCATGCATAACATAAAAAAATAAACTGATTTAAACACGGTAAAAAATAACGTAGGTAACGTGTAAGCAACGACCATTACACTTTAAAAGCAGTGGCTTTTGCCATTAGTGTTCGGAGAACTGCATACTGTGTTTCAGGAATCGCCATGTTGTCATTCTGTCGTCTTTGAAGCTCTGGGAGAAAGGAACCGTCTCCATCTTTGTTTTTTTTTTCCTCACTAAATTTCCGTTCTCAGTATATTTCCATCGACCTGAAAACGACGTTGTAACTTGTAACAAACTCGCCATTTATCGGCCGTCCGCTCGACGACAGGGAATACTCCACTTCCCAAATGAAAGCTGGTTTAACGGCAGGGGGGTAAAAAGAAAATCTGTGCTAAGGGTGTATTCGCAATCCTTTCCGTTGCTGATGGGTTGGCTAATGGCGGGCAGACCTCTGGAGCTGCTCCTCGCGCTGCACGGCAGCGTTTAGAAGGGGGGCAACGGCTAGCATGTAGCGAGCTAACGCGCTAAAGCTAGCGCTCTAAAACCCATTGCGTTCGTCATTAGTGACTTTAGCGGCGTGGGTTCACGGGGGGGGAACTACTGCTTTGCTCTTCATCGTCTCGATGGTATCTACACATTATCCGTCGCACATCACCCACACGTGTTTTTTTTTCTAGATTGAGACACATTAAACTATTCGGTGTGATTTTACCTGAGGAAACGTGATCTATGGCGTTTGCCACCAACTTTTTTTCTTTTTTTTTGCAACGATTTTTCCCAAAAATTTAATTGCGCAACCAGCGTTGGCTTTAACAGACTCCAATTAACTCCGCCTTCGGACTTGTTTTGTAATATTTTACAGCAACTACAAAATACGTTTTATGTGACTTTAGACACAGTACATTTCCCCAATAAACACACCTATTAAACGTTATGTTGTCTATAAAAATAAAAAATGGCGTCATTTTTGTATCAGAAAAATTCCAATGTTATAATGGAACAATAGCAAGTGCAGTTTTACTAAATGGATAAAACCGTAGATGATTTATTTATGTGATGTATATGTTTCTGTATTCCAGGTACGAGAACTTGTCCTTGACAATTGTCGATCAGTCGAAGGAAAAATCGAAGGCCTCACAGCCGAGTTTGTCAACCTGGAGTTTCTGAGTTTGATAAATGTCGGCTTAATGTCAGTCTCCAACTTGCCCAAACTAGCAAAACTCAAAAAGGTAAAAAGAAAAACGCTGTTTCCCATTCTTACCCTTCATGTGCGCGCTGAAGCGCGACAAAATGCCAGCTGGATTCACGTTTCTTTCTACCTCTTTCAGCTGGAGTTGAGCGACAACAGAATCAGCGGCGGCCTCGATGTTTTAGCAGAAAAACTACCCAACCTCACACATCTAAACCTGAGTGGCAACAAATTGAAAGACATTAGCACATTGGAACCATTGGTATGTGTTTTCAGAAGCAAAACTAACACACAAGTCTATCTGCACGCTAATACAACGTGTGTATTCAGTTTTAGGCTTGTGCAGACATTGGACTTTTGTTATCTTGTGTCAATCTAATGTCAAATGTCATTGTTAGACTAAGTACACATGTTATAGACGATCTTGTCATGCTGAACTAACAAATATGTCATTGACCAACAAAATACAGATAACTCAAGTGTCCTAATACTACCAAATATCCACTGGTTGATTTCACATCAGCCAAACCTCACTCACACTCACACACACACACTTCAGTCTCTAGTTGCTTTTGACCCTTAACACGTCAACCAGCGGTTTCTCATCTTTACCGAATTTGATCCGCAGAAAAAGCTGGACAATCTGAAAAGTTTGGACCTGTTCAACTGCGAAGTGACAAACCTGAACGACTACAGAGAGAGCGTGTTCAAGCTGCTGCCACAGCTCACCTACCTGGATGGATACGACACGGAGGACCGGGAAGCCTCCGACTCCGACGGAGAGGTGGACGGCGTAGATGACGACGAAGACGAGGGTGAGAGGTTCTTCTAAGTCCACTGCAGCTGTGAAGACATCGATGTGAAATACAAATAATACTGCTGGATGATACGAGCATGCAGTTTGACCGAATCCTGACTGCTGGAAGTTTTTGATTTTCGCTGCAAACACAATTTGATTACAGTCTTCTCGTTGGACTTTACCTGCAGCACGATTCCATTCTGTGGTCGTTGGAACGATTTGTTTGCTTTTGTTTTTTCAGAGGGAGAGGAGGAGGAAGATGAGGATGGCGAGGAGGAGGACTTTGATGAGGAAGAGGATGACGAGGAAGACGAAGAGGAGGTAGAAGGAGAAGACGACGATGAGGTCAGCGGAGAAGATGAGGTAATAATACATTAAAAAAAATTAAACCGCAATAATTTAGCAGGAGACATTGCTGGGAGGAGTTTGGCTACATTCTTTTCTGTTAACTTTTTAAAACATTTGTCAACAAAGGAGGAAGACTTTGCTCAGGACGGGGAAGTAGATGATGAAGATGATGATGATGAAGATGAAGAAGGTATGTATCCTTTCCTTTGCAGTGAAAACCCCGACCACCTCTTAATTATTTCAATGCAGTTAACTATTATAATAAGACATAACACCATCTCTCTTCATATCACCACTACAAACCCTGCAAAAGGGCAAGAACTGGTTCATGTTAACGTCCTGAAGAGACGTTGCTTAAACTCCCATATTGGGTTAGACGTACGTTTCTTTATTAAAACAGGCAGGGAACTATTAGAAGGAAAATTGCGGACTGACACTGTAAAAGACTGGTATGCATATACGCACCTGCAAACCTGCCGCCGTTGTGAAATCAAAATGTGTCTTAATTTCCCCTCAAACTTTTCATTCTTTGACTCTAAATTGAAGCTACCGCCTACACTGTAGTATTATTACCACCATACGTGTTTTGGTTCAATCTATGATCTCAATCAGATCAGTTTGATCAGAACAATCAAAAGGCCGTGGTTATAAACGCTCGAGGGTTCGTCACACGACGTGGCGGTTGTTGTGGCAACATGGTTTGCCCCAAGTTTGTTTAGGAAAATAAAACTGCACTCAGCCAAATTTGTATGATAGATCAGTGATGCCCAAACACCGGCCCGCGCGCCGTTTGGCACCCGGCCGCACAGAAAGAATCCTGCTTTCATTTCACTTGTTTTTCTGAAAAATGTTTTATTTTGAAAAATCTGCACCTAAATAGACAGTCATACCCCCCTTCATGATTTTGGCACACAATGACACCGATTGTCTCTTTGCACCCAGAAGCAGAAGCAGAAGCCGGCAAAGGGGAGAAGAGAAAGCGAGACCCTGAGGACGAGGACGACGATGAGGACGACGAGGACGACGATTGAGAGCAAAACTGAATGAGAGCCTACAGAGTTACCCCCCCCCCCCCTTTCATTTCCCAAAACCGAATGTCGCCTTTATACACTACACACGGCTTTGTGTAACGGTGTTTACCCCCGCCCTCCACCCTCTCCCAGCTCTGTGCCCTTTTTATGGGGCAAGACTGTACCGGATGGGTGTGCCGAGTGGAGCTGCCACACCCTTTTCCCCCTTCTCCCTCCCCTCCTCGTGGAACTGAGAGCCACCCAACACCCTCCACCTCACCCACCCCCACATTGCCCAGAGGTTCTCAGGCAGCCCAGCACTCAGCGTTCCACCATTTCACTGTCGACCGCCCCCTTTATGTATTCCCGTGTGAGGACTTTGGGACTGGTATCTAGTTTTGGGTCTGTGCTTTTAATATTTTGTTGGATGAATTATTTTTTTTGTTGTTTGGGTTTATTTAGTTCAATTTTATTGTCTTATTATTTTGTTCGGTTCCTTATTTTTCCCCAATAAGATTATTGCTATAGCAGCTGTGCAACCAGCGAGCCATGATTTTTACCGTGGCCGCCTGTTGCACAAATCAAGGTTGTAGCTACATTTTTACTTTCTGTATGACAAAAAAACAACTTTGTAAATAAAATGTTAACATTTTTTGCTCCTTTCTCCTCCTGCCTTGAATTTCCAATATTTTTATGAGTCCAGAGAAAGGCTTTATGTCTTAAATCACTTGCATGATTTGTTTTTTTAAATCTTCCTTGAATCAATACTATTAATTCTTGAATAAGTGTCGTTTTAGCGTTGGCCAATTGCTTTTTCGCATAGAATATGCGAATGATCACAGCGGTGCCCGTTTGGTTTAATAAGCACCTGCTCCTCATCACAGCGTCTTTGTGAGCTGCAAGGAGTCAAACATTTGCTTATCGTTTCATTTAAATAACTTCTTTTGGGCTGAAGAGGTTAAATCGTTGCAGATTTAAAAAATGTAGCTAAAAGTTATGGTAAGTTATTTTTGTAACTTAATATAATAACTTAGGATTTGGATAGTACATTTAAATGACTAGCTTCTAAGCAGAGTACATATAAGAATATCTTTTAAAACTTAATTTAATCAACTATTTTTTCCACAAGATCGTAAGCACTAGGCCCCTTTATTTTAAACAAAAAGGCCAACAGTGGCATTACTGTGCTTATGAGGAGGAAGTGTTTGTGGCTGCTATTTTAAACAATTTCAACTTCAGGTGTTCAGATGAACAATGTTAGCGGTCTACACGCTGCAGCCTGCGAGACTCCAAATAGTCAACAGTGAAATCAGGAAAGCTACAGGACCTGCGAGCAGCACTGCTGATTTAATTGGCTGGTGGTTAAAGGAAATATTTTTCACAAACGGAAAATGATGGGAAACATCACAACAACTGCAGTAAAATGCATTCAGGCAATGCACAGAAGGGCTTATACGAACCGAGCTACGACTCTTTAGTGCAGCGGTTTATTAAATCAGATCAGAATCTGCAGGCATTGAGTGCTACAGATGACTGCAGCCTTTTGCCGTGGTACAACGCCTGTCTGCATGCTTCAATACCAATAGGTCTCTGGAATAGATTGATAACGTCGCTCGCAATTGGCTTGTCGAGATGTTTTTTCTGAGGACTTGGTATTGGACACATTAATAATAAAAAACACAGAATCAATCTATTGCAATTTTTAGTACAGCAAAGGAATCATTGCTTCAGCAGAACATTGGGATGATTAATTCATAAGATAATTTGAAGATAACAGCAAGAAAAATATTTGAAGAACAATGTTCCTTTTCCACTCCTTAATTCATTCTGATGTATAACAAGCGGATACTGAAATGACAAGGGTGGTACACCACAAATATCCTAATACATGACTGAATATCTGTTGATTAACGCGGCAGTGAGCTCAGTATTCTGTCGTCTTAAAGTGATACTGTTCCTTTTGGAACATCAGATTTACTGCAGCCTCATTGCCCTCGATGCACTCAAAAGCATATTGTTTGACCCCCCCCCCAAATACATCAGCGCGTTAAACATGCTTACTGTTTAAAGAAGGCAGAGGGAATTTTACAACCTTGTTTTTTTTTTTACACAACATGCCGAGAAATAAGCTACTATCCTTCCTCTTACCAATCCTTGTTAAAGAAAAGCACCCTCGTCTGATTTAATACAATCGGAGGGTTCTCCTCTCTGTAATACGTCGGGGGCCGGAGGCTCGGACCTTACTAGTAAATAGCAAAGATACGCAATAACAAAACATGATACACTACAAGCTCCTCCAATGAAATGAAAAGCATTTGTTTTGTATCTGCGGTCATTTTAGCAAACCGCATTAAAACCAAAAACCAATGTAGGTTAACAGGGCTGCATAGGATTCCAGCCATGCCGGCTAGGTGACTATACAGGTGGAGCCGGAAGCTTGGTTTAGAACTCAAATAAAGTCAGAAGTGGCAGCAGCTGCTTTTTTAATCAAAAGTAAGCTCATCAGAGAAAGAACCACTGCTCAAAGAAAGAATTCTCACACATTTCCCTGTGCTAGCTGGATAGCCAGCTTTTCCATTTAAACACATCATCTATTTAAAATTTGAATTTCCGTAGACCTTTGAGAAGAAGCCAAATGAAATCCCCAAAACTATTTGAATTCAATTCTAAAAAAAAGAGAAATGGTGACTGGCTGTTAGGGCCCTGGGGAGAACAACGGTTGTGACGTGTTCAAACAACCAAATCGGCCCTCGGGCCATTTCGTGTCAGCTGTGAGCACAGCACCGCTCTGTGGGAACGCGTTGAGACTCATCCACCGACAGCGGCGGCGGTTTGAGTTTACCACGGCCGGGGCGGCGCTGCTCCTGGACAAAAGATGAGATGAATCCGTGCTAGAACCGTCCTCTCAGAGGTCAAAAGGTCCACAATTGTATTGAGGCCAGTGTGTGACTGTGTGTGCGTGTGTGTGTGTCGGTTTGGCAGTTTCCATGTGTTGCATCTTTCACCAGCAGAGATGAAATGTAAGCCAGATCTAGAATGTTGCTATGGTGCGTGTGCCTAAATATATCAGAAGCATGCATGATAACGAGTTCCGGATACAAGCGGTGACCTTGCGATGGGAAGCTGTACCGGTTGTGTTGCTTAATATCTGCAAGAGCTTCTGTAACATCGATTTACACGACAGACAATGTGGTCCTCTCAACATGGAGAACAAGGAGATGTTTCAGTTATCAAAGCAGTTTATATCAGAGAAACTAGGAACACACCTCAGAAGCTCCGTAGTTACTTATTCAAGTGTTTGCAGTTAAATTAACAGTTAAGCATATAAAAACACAGCATTGATGGTTTCCCTTTCACGTGTAAGTAAAATATTTTATTTTATTTTAAGAGATGAAGACCCGTCTCACTGATTAGCTCACTTCTCGTTCACTAGCCTCGTCCTTTCACAGACGGGTTTTCTTTCAAAGCTGAAACACAAGACTGGTAACTGTCCAATGAAAAAAGTAAAAGAAAAGAACTTTTGTCACATCCAATACACTTATTTCTGCCTCCGCTAAAAAAAAACAAAAAACAAGCAAGATGTTTTTTCAGTGCTGCTTTCAAGCTAAATAATCATTTGTGTTAGCATTCAATAACCAAGCTCCAATACAAATGTAATCTTAAAATTGCATCCAATATCAATATATATCATAAATCAATTGTACCTTTTCCAACTGTAGATGAATACAATAACCAGATGGGAATTGTAATTTGATAAATGAAATGATACTCCTGCAGACATCAGACATTTCTATGATCTTCATGTAAATCATATCTCCCACCTGAACTCCCACGATCACTCACCGGAAATACGACACGCTCATATTTTACCATCCACCAAAGAAGCAATTACTCTTTCATACAAAATAGAAAGTCACAGTGTCGTGTTTCAGCTTTTTAGAAAGAGCAATAAAGACATTCTGTTTAGGAAAAACAAAACAAAAAAAACATTCAGAAGCAAAAAGTAGCGGAACACAAACTAACCCAGAAGTCGCGCAGGACTACGGCTCTCCGATGCCTTTAAATCGTTTCACCAGTGACTCCACCTCAGGAAAAGAGAAAGCACGCATTTTTGTCCTTTTAAAAAAAAATAAAAATAAAAAAAAAAAGTAAACGTGCTGTATTTTAGAAAATTACAATCGGGAAGTACTTGAACAAATGGTACTTTGCCTGTATTTTAAAATAAATATTAAAAAAATTAAGAACTGCTACATGGCATCAGTTACAGAATTGGCTTACACAATAGCTGAAACACATTGAATCATTTAAAATTTCCCAGTTATTCAAAAAAAATAAAAAAAAATTTCTCTCAATAGAACGCAGGAACACAGACGGGATTGTGACATTGTCATTCATTTAGATCGCTCCAATTCAAGCACACATTCAAGCATACATTAGAAATACCACAGCCACTTACAGTAGTTTAAATATTGGAAATAAAAACAATCACCAAGCATGACAAAAATTAATTCAGCGTCGTCGCACAATCACACAGGACGTCTGCTCCTGCCCCGCGGCAACCGTCCAACACGCCGTTTGGCCACATCGTTCAGTCGCGTTTTATCTCCAGCTACAAAGAGCGTAAAAAGCTAAAAATGACAATGAACTTGCATAGCTTTGAAGCGTACAAAAGAAAGGTCAATGGGTGCAAATGGTTTTAAATCATGTCACAGCTGGGCGAGACTCGGCGGTCGTGATTAGGTACGTGAACTGAGAATACGTGCACCCTGTGGGCAACAGACGGACTGAGAGAAGAACAGAAGCCCAGGCCTTAAATCACCCGTGTGCAGCGACTGGAGGGATCATTAAAAGGTTAAGAGGCGAGTCGGCACCCTTAAGAACAGGTGTCGTGGTTTGAGGACGGGGGTTAGTACGTCCCGGCGGTGATGCACGTGAGACCCTGCTGTCTCAGAGGGAGTTCTGGTGAGGCTGAGAGTTTTTGATGTTCTTGATCTCCAGCTCCAGCTGTTTGATGCGGACGTCCCTCTGACCGAGGAGCTCATTCAACCGACGGATCTCCTCCTGCTGCTTGTGAAACTTTGTTCGCAGCTGTAGACAAAAACACACGCACAAAATATTGGAATGCATCATCGGCACTTTTAGATTTACTCACTAAAATCTCTCAAGATTCCTCAAGACTGTCCAGCGGCCATAATGATGTCGATACGTTCATCTCAGGTCCCCCTTTAATTATTACAGTGTACGCTGCAATATTTAAAGGGTACGTTTGTTTTCAACCCGAAACTTGTATCAACATGTTATGGTGTCAACAATATGGTGATGACAACAATCTTTGAAATTGTATTAAGAGCGATATCAGACCCCGTTAATGGACGCAACAGGCTGTGATTAATCACTTCAGGCAGTTCTGTCCAATAAAAAGTACTCGTCTACGTCACTGAATGTCCGATTATAGAAATGACCAGAAACAAAAAATACATTTGTCTTTGCCTTTTGCTGGTCCGTTTGTTATTCAGTCTTGTTCTTAAATTTCAAGTCAAAAGCCACGTAACATTCAGCCATGAAAAATATTTCAATTAACACCAAGCACCCCCCCTCACGTTTCCAACGTTGTCCGACGGGAACAAGTCACATGACACGACAACAAACAAAGCAAAATCTACAAAAAGGTTTTATTTTCTGTGTTGTCCTTCCCATAGCATTGTCAGATAACAACCAGGGATTGTCAGTAGCAAAAACAAGCCCCGTTGATGGACGTAAATTGACGGTACGTAATTGCCTGATACGATGACGCTGCAGCCATTAAGCATGTCGGCTGCAGCGTTCTGCCTCAGTACTGGCAGGCCATTTTCTAAAATTGTTCTTCCCATAACTCACTTAAATACATAAAAACACAGAATGGAAATGACCAACGTTACTCTTTAAGGGTAAGGCTGATGATATTTCATATTTTTCATGTATCATGGAAAACAAAAACTATTTCCTGGTTAGTACCAAGCCATTGAATCCCATCGGATTTGTCTACAAAGTCTGTGTCTATTGTAATGCAGGAACAGACACATAGAAACACACATACGGTTTGTTCTAAGACGGACACACACACCAATACAATATGTGGGTCCCCAGATACAGAAGTAGGATTTATTGTCAACGGTAAACGCCGGCAGCCTTTTCCTGAGGCTTTCTGAGCAGCAGCCCTATTCTGTATTGGACTATATTTTATCCAAGGTTTTGCATTAATGTGTCTAATGTGATTGGTGGAGTTTGTTTACGCTGCCCGACAGGACCCAAAAAACTACTCAGCCTCTTTTACACGTTCTCGTGGAAAACATCTTTAAATTGATATTCTTATTTATGGCTGACAGGGCAGTTTTATTACCCTAAAGTAAAGATGCCAACTAAACATCAATCAATGTGACGACTTTTCGCTAAAGTTTAAATACTTTTTCCATTTGAATCCATCTCCCATTTCGGCTCAAACCATCCCTTTGAAAACAAAACTCATTAACTAAATGAGAGAAAACGGATCATCCGGTACCTCGTTCTCCGTCCTGGGCGGAGAGCAGAGCGCGAGCTCCTCCCCGTTGCTGACGGGCGTCCGGCTCCGGTCGACCTCGGCTTTGTCCTCCTTGCCGTCTTTGGTTTCCACTTGGTCCTGGATGTTGGACAGTTGCAGCGCGGCCGGCCTGCTGTGAAACCTGCGCGGTCCCTTTGTCATCTCGTACGACTCTGCTGCCTGACTTCCAGGCTTCAGGGACATCAGCACCGGACCTGCAGCGCAATGAAAGAGGAGCGAGAGCAGCTCAATGTTGTTTCTCTTTAGAGACTTACTCCAATGAATAGTTAGAAAATAAAACTATCAGACATTACGTAAAGTGGTACTAATGAGCCCTACCGTGACCAGTTCAGACATCTGCTAATGCACTTTTATTTAACATTATGGAACTCTTTTTCTCATCCATGGGCCATTTCAATACCAAATGAATACTCGGCGAGCCATACTTGTATTTTATTTGATCGAGTTTGGAGCGGATTCACCCCGCACCTGTAGACCTCATACATTGACAAATGTGCCGCACATACATTATTTCTGACCTTTATCAATGCCGCTGAGCCACTCCTCTGCAGACAAAGCAGGCTCGTTACCAGCAGTCATCGGATAGATGTCTTCTTGGTACGACTCAGACTAGAAATACAAGCACAGTACATTTTAGACCTTACGAAAAGGTTTTATTAGCTCTAAAATGGATATATGCTCTGGTGTTTGTGTCACTGGATATGCGCTCACCCTGCGGGGTACGATCATGGAAAGAGGCTCGATGAGACTCTTGATTGTCACCAGTTTGTAGAACCTGAACACCTCGCAGGAGTTCACCTCCAGACCTCTCTTTGGCATCACGCCTGAAGGGAGACACACGTACTCAGTTATACACCCACTTTTTCTGCTGCACTGCTTGGTCTAAAATACACATTTTGTTAAGTTTTGTTGAGCGTTAAGAACAATTATTTTACAGTAAAAGTGTGCCGACTACATTGGATAAGGTAGGAATTTAAGAATTTAAGTTGATTCTTTCGACTTTTAAATGACTTTGGCATTCATGTACTTCTATTTAAATTTGACTGTTTCAAGTTCTTAATTGTCCTATAAACGATACCTACCTAAGCAATATACTAGTGAAAAAAGGTTCCAGTTGAAATGGGAATATGTATTTTGAAATGGGAATTAATTTGAATTTAAACAGTTTCTATGTTTGTAAGAAATTGGAAACATTTTAAACTGGGATCTAAACTGCTCGGTTTAAAGTCTAAAACACGAGTGTCTCATTTCACATGATGTACAACTTTACCTTGCACAGCCGCTTTGGCTATTCAAATATTGCAGAGGCTCACAGACTTATTTGCACAGTAGCTTTGCTTAAAGGCGAGCGAGAGTCAACTCGGACGGCCGGTAGAGTTTCCATACAGCCACATTTTACACACAAGTTAATTGTTAAATTTCTGTGCTTGATTAAAACAAAACAAAAAAAACATTCAGTGTGTGAGTGTGTGTATTTGTATTTCTTACCCATTCCTTTCTGAGGTAGGTTTGAGCGGTACTCTGTTAAATAGTGGATATATGGTTTTTCTGAGCTGATCTCATAGTACCTCATATTTCCGTCACCCTGACATTGACAAGAGAAGACTTTGTAACAACAACATTACAGTTAATTTCATGTTTAAGGACGGTTGGGCTGCTTTCAGAGACCCACCTTCCCGGCAAGGTAGAGCATGTGTGTGTCTGGGTCGAAGAACGGAAAGAGGACTCCTGACGAACCATCCAGGTTCTCTTGTGACAGAGGCAGAGACAGATCGTCCTACAAACACACACCAGGATAAATATAAATGAAAGAAATAAAAATAAAACACTTCAGCATCCACAACATGGACAACATTCCCTAATATCAGAAACACGCAATCATTTAAATCCATTTCTACATAAAACCAACTCGGTGGCGGTGAATTAAAAACACTGAGTGCTTAATCTCTCTATCCGCTTTGGCCATAATCTTCCACCCACGACACACTCTCACAAATCAAAACACACCAAAATCCACCCAGTTGTCCACTAGATGGCAGAGTTGTGTTTGTGGGAGAGTTCCCACTTGAAAATGAGCACTGCGTCGGCCTCAGAGATCACACATTTGTAGTATTGGTTCAATACATAAGGCCAACAATTTCTGATGAACCTATGATTTGTTGAATCCCAAAAGTTCATGACATCCAAAGTATTCCACTTTCCTCACGTTTTAGTGTAGACATTTTGTTTCTATACTACAATTTTAAACAGTTTTTCCGTCATCCTGAATCTCAACTACGCTTTTAACGACACAAGACAGGAAATAGGGCCGTCTAGACCCGGAACCTCTCTGCCAGAAATAAAATATTAAGAATTCTTACTATTGTTCTCATTAATGTTTTTTTCTTCCTATTTTCAATTTGTTGACGTGTTCTATTTCTTCCTTTGTGAATGGTCTACGTGCTCTTTTTCCGTGAGTGGAGCTGGTTCAGGTGTCACCACGAGGCCAAAGTGTGGAACTCCACTCACCTGACACCATTGAACCCAAATTCAGCCAACGATTTGTGATCAAGACCATGAAACGTCAAATAGAGCACAGAAAAGGCAAGTTTGTGGACCTCTGTCATGCAAGACAGTTCTGTCATTTGCTCTCACCTGATCCCACAGAGCAAACTGCCGGTCGTTGTAACGTGAATTGCCCGATGTGAAGAGCATCTTCAGGTTACCCAGGAACAGCACCTTGCTGGCTTTGTGCGTCTTGCAGTTGGATTCCTGCGAACACAACATGCTTAAGACAAAGCAGAGGGCATACAAAAACATTGGATGTGTACAGTTTTTAGTTAGTTTAGTAGGAAATAATAACAATATTACAGCAGAAAGATTTCATGTTCCTTCGATCTTCTCAATAGCTTGTTTGGCAGGCCGAAGGAGCACGAGTGGACTGATGTAAAGTGTGGGAGTCAGTGGCTGGTGACCCGCAGGCCTGGAGCCGTCCCATGGGCCTCTCCAGCCAGAGGTGTAAGTTTTGGCTGTGTGGTGCTGGATAAGTGCCTGGGCTTGGAAGGGGGAGAGGCAGGAACTCCCACGTGCCGTATACGGTGGAATGCTGTTGTACAAAACATCTAAGGATTGTGGTTTTTAGGAGGTTTTTAAAAATATCGGGATTTTTTCAGAGGAACGTTATATTTACCCCACTTTCCTTCAGATTTTAAGTTACAATTTACTGAGAATTGTATTTTTGCCCCATCAAAAAACCTCCGACGTCTTCATTGCAGTTCAAGGTGCATTTAAAAAAAGATTCCCGTAAAGGCTGGAGTGAAAATGTGCTTCTGATAATGCGCTAGAGTTAAAACGTCTGAAATAAAACAGGAAGACACAAAAACTCCTGCGTGTGTTGAAAAGAAACAAATAATATTCCCAACTATAGATTTTCTTTTTCAGTTATTTAGATTAACGACAAAGATCTCAAAAGACAAAGACAACACACACACGCACGCACCTGCTGTAGGTGTCCCGAGCGCGGCTCTATGAGTCGGACCTTCCTGTCCTTGCAGGTGGTGGCCAATAAGCTGCCGTCTGTGTTGAAGGACATGGAGAGGACCACGTCTGTGTGATGGCTGATGGTCCGCACCGGGTTTTTTATCACCTGCTCCGGACAGTCCAGGTTCCAGATCATAATCTAAAAAAAGGTTTAAACGTAAACGTTACTGGATACGGATCATTTTCACTGGTTTTAGGAGAAAGAGGAGCAGAGATGTGACCCACAGTCACACGGTCTAATTTAAGGATACAGAGTCGCCCCACTTTACACTTTGCTGAGATCCATCATGTTGCATGAAGAAGAATGGGGCTGCTGTGGCCTTATTGGGCTTCATTGTAATACAGAACACGCGATCGCCGGTAGTTGTATGTATGTCTGTGTGTTACCTGGTAGTCATAGCCCGTGCTGAAGAGGATGTTGTTAGCGGTCGGGTGCCACTCGATGAGGCCCACTCTGCGGCTGTGACCCTGGAGCTCCTTCCACGGCGCTGTGATGTTCTTCAGCACACCACGAGCAGGGATTTCCCACACTTTCACCTGTACACACACACACACACACACACACGGAAAACACAATGTAACGGAGAGCATAAAGTAGAGTGTTATACTGACGTACAAAGTGAACGTACTCAGGAAGAGTAATGCTGTACCTTTCGGAATTATTTGACAGCTTTAGTCAACAGTTACTTTACAGCTTCTGTCAAAATGTGTTTATACAAAACATACAAAAAAACTTCATACAACAGTAATGCAAGTACAGATTAATTGAGTTGAATATTGGGGCGTGCCCACCTGATGACCATTTGAAGGAATGAAAGTTTAAGTAAATAATCAGACTACTCCCTCAACCTTTGCAAACACACATGAATAAAGAAACAGTCCCTGCTCACAATATTTCTAAACCTATGAAAATAGCCATTGCACAAACAATCAAGGGGCGACAAAGTAGGGAATATAAATGACGCACGTATACGCTTAAACGCAACTGACTTACTTTGTGTTTCTTTGCAGGGGGATTCGTTATCTGCCAAGTAAGAGCTGAGGAATGTGTGGAATGACTTCTAGCTAGTCTTGACGGGTGAACAGCGAGGCAATAAAACGATCTCTCTGCCGCATAACGCAGGAAAATCAACCATTTGTGAAAATGTACTTTGTGTGTGTACAAACCGTGGAGTCCTCGGAGCAGGAGGCGATGCAGTAGTCGTTGAATGGATTCCATTTGATGTCCAACACGTTGCCTCGGTGGCCAGATACCCGGGGATGTTGAGGGTCCACTTTGCCGGTCTAATGGGAAAATACGGAAATTAAAATGAAATGAAAACACAGAGCAAACCAACTGGTATGTACTGTTGGGTGGAAGGAATAGTGTATGAACATTATCTCAGTAGTAGTTAGTTAGCTCAGTGACTGGTGTGAAACTACTTTGTTCTGGGCCATTACATCAAAAATGAAAGAAGAGAATTGTCTTCGGGTTTCACTTTGAACGACTTCACATGACATTTTATTCCCGTGAATATTAAACTCCATCAATTCACCATTGTGTTTCTAGGACAGATTTACCGTTTAAAATCGGTGCTTCAAATCCAACAATATCTTCCATTGCTCAAATTACCCACAATGCAACTCAAACACTACGTTTAGTTTGTGTAATGTAACCTCAAACCGTTCGCTCAAGCAGAGATGGTCGAAGAGGTCTAGCAAATTTACTTTTTTTTTTTATTTTATTTTATTTTTTTAGAAAGAGTTTTTTCCATTTTAGAAACCAAGGATTCAAGACAGCTTCATACAACAGTCTTAATACGCGCAGTGGTACTTCCTAAGTACTGCAAGCCTCTTGACACCAACACGAAAGCCCTCAAACCGTTCGTGACACACACACACACCCACCCACGCACGCACGCACGCACACCCCCCAGTGTTCCAGGATACTGTTGCAAAAGTCTGCTTCAACCAGACTGCTAATTATGCCGCTTGTACGACCAGAACACATTCCCCGGCTAGATCACTGGTCAGATGAGGCGTATGTGGAACATGGGAATGATATGTAATAATTATCCGTTCTTTCCAGCACCCTGACACATGCACAAGTAAGTAAACCGTGATGCGCTAACTTCTTTCTCCACAGAACAATGGCTTATCTGTGAGCGCGCACACGTGGACGGGAGGGGAACATGGACTGTATGTAACAGGAGGTGAAGGGTGGCAGATGGGAAGGACGCAGTGAAAGGAGGGGGGGTCAAAAGATGAGTTATGTCATTCCTAAGCTCGTATGGAGTCGCCGCCCACGCCAGGAGGGTGGTGATGGTAACTCGCGGGACGATTTAAAAAGATGGGAGCCCTTTGGAGGGAGCGGAAAGAAGGGAAGAGGCGTTCGGCTTGATGAACGTCTCCGAGCTGGACGTAAACAGGAGGAGCTTAAGTTTAACCACCATGTGACTGAAAAGGTCTGGACCCGTTTCTTGTGTGAATGTGATAATACGCAGTAATGTCTGGGAGATTATTTTATTAAATCGCACTTAAGCTGACGTTTGTGAGTGAGACAAGATGAAAAGAGTGGGGGGAAAAAAAGACCACATGCAATGTTTAGGTCTCGGGGAGGAGCTGCCGGGTGGGTTTCCTGGTATTTGCAGATTTAGTTTTGGCTCAACTGCTGACGTTCAGTTTATAATCTGAGAGCAGAGCCGGTCTTTTCCAGGTGTGCTTTGTGTGCAGGAGCAAAGAGAGAAACAATTGGATGCATGATACATTGACCCAATAAGATTTTTTTTGTTTTCACCAGAAAATAAAATAAGAAATAAAATCTGCTCTTGCCAATGAAGTGAGTTGTCACTCTTGCATTTTTTGTAAAACTGCCCATCTTTTTGCTTGAAGCAAACATCAGTTATTAGTTAAATATCTCATGTTTCCCAGTTGTAGACCTGCTGGGCGGCTCGCAGGAAAGAACCGCCGTCAGTTTGCTCATCGGCAGCAGCACAAACAATATCTTTACGCTAAGCAAAAGGAACAAACCACGATGAACAACAAGGATCATTAGCAATCCGAGATGCTGCTCAGGATGTAAAATCTGTTTACAATGTTATTTGCCCGCAGTGCTTTTCTCAAGCTCTTTCAAATCAGACTGAATTGCCGTTTCATTTCACTTAATTATTAGTCTGACTTGATTATTTTGGGGTCTGGAGCCTTTTCCCCTTTTGAAGGAAGGGCAAACATATCACATTATCCACGATCAACACCCTGAAACAAAATAGTGCACATGCCACTTTAAGAAAGATGACATCAGTCTGTAAAATCCGCCGTGAGATGGAGATACTCACGTGATTGATAGACAGCACCAGGAAGGCCCCTCCCCCGCCGCACTCAGTGATGACTGCCAGGAAACGCGGGTTGACCGCACAGAAGTTGTTGTCCTGGACGCTGCATGTGATTGGCACGCCATCATAGCAGCTCTCCTTGGTGGCGGCCTTACCGAACACGTGGCGGAACTTGGAGCTGCGGTACTGAGGACGCCATGTCATCTGAGAGTAGAGGGAGGAGAGGAGGTCAGTCGAGGGGAATCACCTCTCTAGAGGTTTGGACGCCACGGTTCTTCTTTCAGAAGTAACTGTAGGTGTGATGCAAGCTGCCAAAACAGGACAGGGAACTGATCCCTGATCCCCTAAACAAAAAGGTTTTAAATAAAAGATATAATATTGTTCTTTGTTGAGCATATGCTAGCGGTCTATTCAGACGGTTTGGTACTATAAGTGATAAGCACGCCTCATGAATTCCCCCATCTAACAGTAGTGAAAACATGTAAGTATAACCTGATGTTAATACTCAGAAAAAATATTTATTCCCATTGTCTGTTACAAAATGTGAACTTTTGCAAACTATGAGATAGCGTCACTGTGACGGTGACGTTTTGTGTCACCACTTCAGAGCTCGATACAGATAAGATTTACATAAAAAAAAAAAAAACATTCCGACCTGGTCCTGCTGCATTCTCAAAGCTGCATTCAATGAGTCAATGACGAAGAATAGACTTTTATCGACTAGAGTTAAGCGCTTTATCCTTGTTTATGGTCTAAGGATCTGATGTATAAGCTTTGTACATTATTTAATTGTTAAATTTTTAGTTGTATTGAAAATGAAACGTTATGGTTAGGAACAGATTGTTTAATGATGTCAGTATTACAGCGTTCGATTAAATAAATCTATTGGCTTGCAAATGTGATTTTTGTATGAAATAGGTGGAGCAATTCAATAACACAACATAAATGAGGAGAGGCACAAACTGTGAGACTTTCCTTTTAACCACTTTGCTTGAGCTAGTCGATGCACATGTCATTATTTTGAGAGATAAGTGGCTCTGGTCCGCTGGGACGACGTCTGACCAGCCGGCATGTCTGCTCTGCTACTCCGCCTGGCTCTCTGCCTGCCTGCTGCGCGGTCATTACTTATGAATTAGGGGTGGAGGAGGTTGATGGACAAGAAAAAGAAGATGACTCAAACAACAACAACAACAACAGCAGCAGCAGCACAGCGAATGCAAGGAAGGAGATGGAAAAGTAGGACAACGAGGGGCACGGCAAGAATCACATCTCACAACAATGAATATCCAAATTTGTTGTCCTGTTTGCGATGATGGTGAAATAGATACAACCATGATTAAAACACGGCAAAAAAAGGTGCGGCTGCAGACTCTCTGGCTGGAAAGCCGCCGAGCAGGGAACGGAAACTGACAGGACGGAGAAAATGTGGTTTAAGACAATAAGTGGAGGGGAGAATCTCCGAGTGACAGAAATGCACAGGCGGAGATCGCGTCTCGGGTTACTCTCCTCACCTTCTACCCCGAGGCCGTCGCAGAGCGCCTCGTGATGTCACCATGGAATGTCTCGCTAACCGAAGAGACGCTTCATTAACATCTCAGGTGTTTAAGAGCCCGTCTGCTTCTCGCAAACTGTGCGTCACGACCATCCTGGCAGGATTCACTCAGGATACCAACATGTTTACGTCAAACGCCACCTCTAGTCACCCTAAGTTTTTCCCCTTCTGTACTCAAACGTCTCGCAGCAGACCAGGTGTTGCAAGAATAGGCGCCCCAAATACATTCTTGATCATTATCACCGCTTTGTGCGTGCGCTTAAAAGACATGCTACAACAACAGAAAAAAGGCAACTTCCTCATTGTGACTCCAAAATGCAAATGCCGACTCCCTTGAAGGCATGCGAGAAATCCTTATTGAGCTCGCCGGAGAGAAACAAGCCAATTCTCGCTTTAGCGAACGCGCTGCAGTGCAAATCTAGGTTGACATGATCAGCACTCGTGTATTTGCTGAGGCTTACAAGACCCAAAAAAGGAGGAGGCGGCTTCCAGGGAAGAAAGCTGAGACATCTTGTCACTTCTAAAGCAGGTTGTAATCAGGCCAGTGGCAGCTTCCTCTCAGCTGTGCCTCGCGGCAGGTACGCGGCAGGGCGGCACGGTGGGCGGCCTGTCTCACGGCACCGATGACGAAAAACAATGCTATATTTACCTTCCTGGCTGATCAGAGGACAGCCGGGCACGTTTCACTGACAGCTTAAAAAAACAACAAAAAAAACGCTTTTATTCACAGTGCGTCTTTGATATCCCGCCGTCAGTCTCGCAAAAAAAAAAAAAAAATCTATTTCAGTCTGTGACCAGTGAGTCACAGCAGCCACTCGCAGTAAGCGGGCTGTAACAACAGTCATAAAACCAACCGAAAACACACCGTTATGACGAGAGAGAGAGAGAGAGATATTGGACATCTGGTTTGCGGGCCCAGAGTTCTTGTTTGGGTCTGTGCTTGTATGTGGAAGTGCAAAGCATTCGTATGCACCGGCACCTCACCTACTGGCGGTCCTTTTAAGCACCTTTCAACTCATAAACTTGTAGCAGCCACTCCTCTCTCTTTGCTTGCCAGGGCCCGATGCTGCAGGGGGAGGGGGGCGGTGGGGGCTCAAAGTTTAGTTACTCAAGCGCAGATTTTGGTTACTTGAGCGCCGTTGGGCTGAAGGCTACGAGCCGCGAGACAATTTGGACTCTCAGTGACACGACGGACTCCGCAAGGACTTTCAGCCGTGTCCCGTCCCAACAATGAAAGCCACAAAACCCTAAACTTGATCCAAAAGAAACACTAGTCATATAACCAGGCGCACACACACACACACACACACACACACCCTCCTCGCCTTCTGAATCCGTAGATGTTTTGTAAACTCAAACCCACGTGAAATTTAAGACGGGGAATGTGCAGGTGTGAACGCGCGTCAAGGCCGTACGTTAACAGCGCGAGTGTCTCCACGTGTTCATCATCTGGTGCAGCCGGGTTTAGACGGTCGGTTATCATCCACAGCTTTTCAACCGCTGTTCTGTAATAGGATAACAGCCAACTTGGTAATCCAATAGCTGCTTCATTACTGTGGCGCACACGTGTGTGTGAGTATGAAAAGGATAAGGCCGGTGTCCGAGTGCGTGTCTGTTTTCTGAGGACAATCCATGTCGTGCTCATTCTTTGCGCGGTTTGTACAAATATCCATCCTGTCTCGCCCACAAACCCAAGCAAACATCTGACAATAGTCCTTTATTGTAGAAGGCAGTTTTATGACTGATTTCTAATGATTAACGTGTACCGTCTAACGAGGAGGTGAATAGATGGAAGACTTTGGATGGATGGAAAGTCTTTGTTATGTGTGATCTATTAGATTTACTTTCACAATTTTGATGGAAATTGGGTGATTTTGGAGAACCACTTAATTCCCAATCAGGCTTTCTCCAGCAGCCTCTTTGAATTTACCGTCAATAGGACAAAAAACTTTTTTTCTTCAATGAACCATTCAAGAATCTTGACAGTTGAGTTGCATCGTGGGTAATGTCAAAAGTATTTTAGGTTTTAGTAATGAATACATCTGGTAGAATTTGACTAATTAAAAGGTTGTTTTTTAAATTAAGACATCTGGTCTTCTTTTGGAGTTTTGACCATATGAAAAGGAGTCTCCTCGCTACAAAAAAGTCCAATCAAGAACATCAAAAAGTCAGACAATCAACAGTTAAGACAGGTTTTCTAAAACATCTCAACGCTCAACTACACCTAAAATGTGGGGAATGATCCCTCATCTCTAAATGTTCATGTTTATAAACAGAGAACATAATCCTTACACTAACCATCTACTTCATTTGAACAGAATTAACTCAAAACCATCATTTGTAATCTGTAAGACAAGAAGACACTTGAACACAGACTCTCTATGAACCGACGCAGGACAACATAAACTAAATCCACCCCAACCATTGTTCGACAGTCAGGCTGTGTGTGTGTGTGTGTGGACACATCATCATAAAGTTGATTTTTATGGCACTAATTGAAACCAGCATTACGGTATATAATATAAGTGCGATAATACAGTATAAAGTACAGCGTAACTCGATAGTAAAAAGAAGAAAAAAAACACACAGTTTGGGCGATACTGCCCAATTCTGGAGGCTTCACTTCTACAGCTGTAAGGAGCAGCTCTGCGTGCTTATTGGTCCACGAATCCTCGAGGTGAGAAGCAGAATACCAGGCGTAATGAGAAGACCTCGAACAGACCGTGATTCAAACCATGAGGCGGATATTTCAGTTAATGGCACGTTTCGAAGGGAGGACGGCACTATAAATAGACGTTTGTGGGGATGGTGGAGAAGACTCGACCGGGCCGGTGGATGATGAGGTTCTTTTCGCTGCCGTGGAACGTTCAGTTTCATGATGAAATATTTCTTGTCCGTAAGCCAAAATATAAATTACCTCCACGTTTGGGGAAGGTGAATGAGTAGCTACACTTGTCCAAGGTCGAGCAATAGGATAATTAATCTAAGAAAAAAGGAGTGCCGTTCAATCGTACGTCAAATGAATCGGTGTTTTTCATAGTTTTTCCAGACATGCACAGATCAAAACGCAAAGAGCTGGCTTAAAGGCAGACTTGTTCAAGCCTGTCTTCATGCACATGAACTTTAAATCCCCACAGGAAAAATGTCAGCACACACACACACACACACACACACCGTGAGACATTTGTGGACAGAGGTCTACGGAGCGAACGATCAATAACCTAATAATTGCAGAGGCAGAAGGATATGAACGATATGAAGAGACGCACAGCACAAACGACAGAGACGGTCACGCTGGGAGTTGAGCAGCACTCACCCTGTCGAGTGAGTCGACACACCGGCACTGGAAGCAGCAGCGGGTCCTCAGGTGAGTGAGGAAAAGTTACGTCTCTGCCTCTCGTCGCCACCCACAAAAAGCACCTCGACCAAAGCCCTCGTCGGGTGTTATCTCAAGCACATGGATCCACACGTCCTCCCTGAGCTCACACACACACACACACACACTCGGTCCGAAGAGCTGTGTCTGCGCTACTGTCCGAGCAAGCTTCTCCTCCTCCTTTGATGTGCACCGTCCACACAGACACTCAGAGGAGACGGTGGGTGTGTGCGTGCAGCATGAAGCCGAGTACGTGTGTGAACAAGCAGGGAGGGG